ATGATGCATGCCTGTGACTAGTTCTTCCCCAAGGCAGGAGGATCATGAATATAAAGCCAATACGGGCAACCTAACTAGACCCTGTTTGGTTAAATTAAAAAAAGGCAGGGAGGAGATAGCTTAGCGGTAGAGCACTCCTGGGTTTTCTCCCTAGCATCACAGAAATAGATAATGTTCTTAATTTACCAAAAAATGTGAGTGAAATTATTATTTTTTGTACTGGGGATCAAACTCAGGACCTTGAGTTTACCAGGCAGGTGCTTTGAGCTTCTGAGCTAAATCCCTGGCCCATGAGTGAAATTATTACAGAGCAGTTTTTTTAAATTATGACAGTGTCTATTAGTCTGTATCAAATAACTCATAGAATGCAAAAATACTTTTACCCTCAGTATTAGAGATCAAATCCAGAGTTGCTCTACCACTGAATTATTTCTTTAGAAACAGATTGTGGCTGAGTTACCCAAGTTGGCCTCAAACTTGCCAGTCTGCTACTTCAGCAGGCCGTGGAGCTGGGATTACAGATGTGTGCCACTGTGTTTGGTGTTTTTGCTTTTATTTGAATTTATTTTATGCTGAATTTATTCACATGCCACAAGATTTTCTTTCTTCAGTTTCTTTGAGGTGTCTTTTTCTTCCTGCAGCCTCCTTTCTGGTGTTGGATAATTTGTTCCTTTTTAGTGAGGATCATCTCATTGTGGTGGGGGAACTCTTGTGTGGGTTCCCTCACCATGAACTGTGTGAGTACAGTGGCTCTCTGTACCTGTGAGCATGTGTGGTGAAGATCCCCTTATTTGGCTTGAACACACCTACCAGCTACCACAACATTGCAGTGCCAAACTGGCACACATTCACTGCTTGGTTGGTTGGTTAGTTAGTTACGTGGTTGGTTGGTTGGTTGCTTTCTTTTTGTACTGGGGATTGAACCCACTTCACACTGAACTGCAGTTCTTTTTTTTGAAATAAGGTCTCACTAAATTCTCCAGGCTGTGTTTGAACTTTTTTTTTTTTTTGGTTAGTTTGAGATAGGGTCTCACTGTACTTCAGACTGGCCTTGAACTCACTGTGTAGCCTGTGCTGGCCTTGAATTCGTGGTGACCCATCTGCTTCAGCCTCCCAGGTACTAGGATTATAAACATTGTTACCATACCTGGCCCATACTGAAATGTATGTATGTATGTATGTATGTATGTATGTATGTATGTATGTTTTTTTGAGACAGGATCTCATTGTGTAGTTCCAACTGTTAATTAAATTCACTCTGTAGCCTAGGCTGGCCTTGGATTTAAGGCAATCTCCTATCTCACCTTCCTGATGACCTGGACAGTTTCACATTGTTATTAAAGTGAGCACAACGATTGGAGCCATGTTGGTGATTTATGTTGCGTTTTCTGGATCTAGAGAATAGTTGAGCCATTTTCACAGGTTGTATATAGGAAGAGGAAGATGTATGTAGTATTTATATGTGTGTGTCTTAAAATAATATCTTATTACTGACAGTTTGAACTTTTAATTTGACTAATAAGAAAAAACCAACTGGGCTTAAGCTGTCTTAATTTTTTTTTTTTTTTTTTTTTGTCTTCTTCCTTTTTATCGGTACCAGGGATCAAACTCATGACTGCCTGCTTTCAAGGCAGGGGCTTATGCCGCTGAGCTAAACTTCCAGCCCCAACTGTCTTAATTTTGAGGCGATGACAGTATATTCAGTGAGTACAATAGGTTTCTATGGTCACACCCTGACATGGTACCCTGGACATCATTAAATAGAAAACACAAATTAATTCATGCTTTTGAGAGGCTATTGCTGCATTAGTGGTTCTCAGCTATGTATTTTATGTTTGAGAGTAATTGTATTTCCATAGGCAGGTTTTGTGGTTCCTGTAATTTCTTCTCTTTGCCTTACCAGATCCTTGAGAAAGGTAGCTGGCTGATTATTTGTAGGTTGGTGCCATGGTAGTACCTGCAGGGCCCAGCAGAACTCTAATCATCATAATCATCAAAGTCGAAGTACAAAGCCTCATAAAGCCATGCTCACGAGAGAGGAAAGATCATTTTTTCCTTCCCCTGCTTTGTGGGAATCTAGGGCAGTAGGTAGATGGTTTGAATAGGTGCTGCTGGTGTGACCTGGCTCTGCAGAGAAGTCAGGGAGTGGTGAGATGCTCTTATAAGGGAGAGGCTTGCCATAGTCAGGATGATAAACATGGTGTGTGGATTTGTCCCTGTGTCTCTGTGAAGGCAAAGGTGCCTTCACTGGGCATGAGCACTTGGAGGATCCATACCTAGTGATTTAGAATAGTATTTATTTGGAAATGTGGTGGTTTTCTTTTGTTCAGTCTCCTGGTTTCTAACTTTTAAACCCTTTTAGAGAGGCATTATACATAAAAGTAGAATATACTTTCTCCATACCCAGTTATGTTATTAATATACATTATGTATTTTTAAAGTATTAGGCATTTTTTCCATGTGTCATATTTTTATCACGTGTCCTTTTCAAAGTTTCTTAGATTATGGAATCTTAGTTGTAGTATAAATAGAAAACTGGATACCAAGCGTGCCTGGTTCGTGTTACCCTAGAAGTAATTATTAGGTGGCCACTCAGCCTAGTGAAAAACAAATTTAATTTTGTTCCAATCATGCAACCAAGACTGGTTCTGTGGGTTTTTTTTAATTTTTTAACCTTTTCAGCCAGTTGACTTCATATTGGATGGACAGTTTCTGAAAGGTTGACTATAATTTCAAAATTTATGGAAACAATTCTGTTGGAGCATTTATCTACAGAAGGCTGATGCAGTTGTGCCCATTAAGAGATCAGTGAATTGGGTATATTATTTTATGGTCTTTTTATAGAGTACTCTTTTGCTAATCTTTGAATCTAAAGCTGCAAATTAGTAAATCTTCTTTGACAGCAGAGCTTGAGCGTTTTATTTTACTTCAAAGGAAAAGAACAGGTTGATTTCTTTTTGTCTTTTTCTTTTTTATGGGTACCAGGGATCGAACTCACAACCACACACTTGCAAGGCAGGCACTTATGCTGCTGAGCTAAATCCCCAGCCCCTTTGTTTTGTTTTGGAGACAGGGTTTTGCTATGAAGTTCAGATTAGCCCTGAACCCATTGTGTAGTCCCAAGCTGGCCTTGAACTCTGTTGATCCTGATCCTCCTGCCTCAGCCTCCCAAGCACTGGGATTATAGGCATGTGCCACTTTTTCCAGCTGGATTGAAACTTGTGATACCATGTCTCAGGTTCCTAGAATGCTGGAAAGACAGGCATGTGCCATCATGCTCTGGCTCCTTATTTTATTTTGAAGTGTTGCTAAAATTGCCTAGGCCGGCCTCAAATTTGCTGTCCTCCTGTCTCAGCCTCCTGAAGAGCTAAGATTATAGACACCCTACCTCATACAATATTGTTTTTAAGTATATTTAGTATACCAAAATGCAGAACACAGTATATGTTTGATAACAATTATCAGGTGAGTTGAGAAAACAATCACTGATCTTGGCAAAACAACTTGACTTGATTAGCACCTGCCACAGTATCATGTTTTGTTTTGTTTTTGAGACAAAGTCTGCCAGTTCAGGCTGGCCTTGAACTCACTGTATATAGCCCATGTGAGCCTGAAACTTGAGAGCCTTTTGCCTCAGCCTCTCAAAACGCTAGGATTACAGAGGTTTGTCAACTCTTGGTTTGTCATTTTGATAATGAAAAAAAAAAAACTTTTTGCTTCCCTGTTTATTGAACTTCTTAACCTTTTTTTTTGTCTTTTTCTTTTTTATTGGTACTGGGGATTGAACTCACGACTGCCTGCTTACAAGGCAGGTGCTTATGCTGCTGAGCTAAATCCCCAGCCCCTTAACCATTTTTTGAAACAAAGTTTCACTATATAATCCAGGCTGACCTTGAACTCACTATGTAGCCCAGGCTGTCCTCAAACTCATAGTGATCCTCCTGCCTCAGCCTCCCTGGGATTACAGGTGTGCGCCACCGTGCAAAGCACATGTCAGTAATTTTTTTTTTTTTTAACAAAACAAAATACGTCTCTTTCAACCATAAAACAAATTAAAAGAAGGGAAACAAGCCAGGTTTATTGTCTGGATTGGTGCCCATTTCTCCTGGCAGTAGGAAAAGGTAGCTCACTTGCACTCACCCTTTTTCCCCTCTTCCCCTCTCTTTATCTCTCTTTCTCCTGTTTCTCTTTGTATCTCCCCTTCTTCTCTTGCCTCCCCTATCCTCCCTTCCGTCTCTGTCCCTCTTTCTTTTTTTTTGGTCTTGCAGGCAAATGTTTTATCACTGAGCTATATCCCTAGCCCAGGAAAGGGAGCTGTTAAGTGTTACATACAGGGGGAGTTCAAGGCTAATATACAGTATATAGTAAGACCTTGCAAAAAAAAAAAAAATAAAGACTTAAGAAGTAGCTCAGGAATAGTGTTTGCCTACCACGTGCAAGGCACTGGGTTCGTTCCCCAGTACCACGCACACACACAAAAAGGAAGGGAGGAAGCATGGAAGACAGGAAGGAAGGAAAGAAAAAAACCCTGTGATTTTATTTTTATATGCTGTATATTTCTAAATCTATGCTTTCTGTTAGTATTTTAAACTTCTGCTTGTTTGCTATTCTGGGAATTGAACCTAGGACTTTGGGCATACTAAGCATGTGCTCTAGCACTGAGCTACAGCCCTAGCCCTTTAGCCTTTTACTTTGATTGTAGGAACAGACAAGACTTTAAACTCACTGGCAGGAAAAGTGTTTTAGATTAAACCTAAAAATGTGTGTTTGTCTCCTCTTCTCTTCTCTTCTCTTCTCTTCTCTTCTCTTCTCTTCTCTTCTCTTCTCTTCTTTTCTTTTCTTTTCTTTTCTTTTCTTTTCTTTTCTTTTCTTTTCTTTTCTTTTCTTTTCTGTGAGACAGCAATATTTAGCCTGGCCTTGAACTCATTGTATAGTCCACTTGTATTTTTTTTTTTTTTTTTTTGCATAGTAACCAGCTTGACATGTTTTTTGTTTTTCAGACAAGGTGTCACTGGGTAGCCCAGGCTGGCCTTGAACTCAGTGGTGATGACAGGCATGTGCCACCACACCTGGCCCCACACATCTTCGGACAGAAAATGTGCCTGGATCCTTCACAGTATTTTATGTTCAAGCTGAATTAAAAGCAATAGGACAGCCAACACATTTTTTCTTAAGAGTTTGAAAAGTATGCTTGATCTGTTATATTTAGTACAGTTTGGCAATTAACAGCAAATTTGAACTTGCTTAAGCTTAAAAAAAAAAAAAAATATATATATATATATATATATATATAGTAGTTTATTACTTTTGATATTTATCTTTTCAATGTGAAAACAGCATGTGAATGAAGCCTTAAATTCCACTTGAACTATGTCCATGAATTCAGACATAGTGGAACTTGGTACCTGAATTATATGTTGATATTCCTTAGAGGTCCTCAGCTTCATTTGCTGCTGAAGAATTTCTTGTTTCTAAATTAGTTTTATAGAGTCTGTGAGATTTAGAGGCTACCAGCTCTGTTCTTTTAGTCTTTAAAGTCGGAAACCTCGAGGTCTCCGTCACCTGAGTTCCTTCTCACCCTTCTAGGCAAAGTGGAAGGAAATAACCTCCTGTTCCTAATAGAGCTAATTCCTGGACTTAAGTTTTAACCCTTTTGCACCTTATAATTGAAAAATGGCTTATGAAATACTTTGTCTACTTGTGTTTATGTTCTTTTCAGCTGTGTTGAGGAGTGACCTCAGGCCTTGCTCTGTGCTAGGCAGTCTGCCACTGAGATATTCCTAGCTGTTATTCTTCCTTTTTTTGGTGACCTTGTGTATGTACTTAAAGCTGTTGAACTGGGTTATTTTTTTGTTTTGTTTTGTCTTTTGTTTTGAGAAAGGGTCTTGCCATTTCAGGCTGGCCTTGAATTTACTATGTAGTCTAAGTTGGCCTTAAACTCTGCAGCAGTCCTCCTGTCTCAGCCTCCCAAGTGCTGAGATTATAGGTAAGTGCTGGGATTACAGACATGTGCCACCAGTGGCTGGATTAATTTAATTGATACACAGGTCTTTCAGTTTAATGAGAAATAGAATCTGTTTTATATAGTCAGAAATTAGTATATGACTTTATGCTTTTAAATATTAATTAATTATTTATTGCTTTTTGCAGTAGGGTTCACTGTGGAATTCAGGCTGGCCTTCAACTCATTTTGTAGCTCAGTGACCTGGAACTCAACAGCAGTCTTCCTTTTTTTTTTTTTTTTCTGGTACTGGGGATCGAACTCACGACCTTGAGTTTGTAAGGCAGGCGCTTATGCCATTGAGCCAAATCCCTGGCCCACAGCAATCCTTGTACCTCAGCCTCCTGAGTGCTGAGATTACAGACATCACCATGTCTGGTGATTTGTATGCTTTTAAATTGGAGACCTACTACTCATTTGAATGAATGGCATAAAATGTAATGATTTTAGTCTGCTGGTTCTGGCTGTTTTATTTCTTAAATGTCATTCTTAAAATGTTTTGTCAGCTCTGATGTTCTGATGACATCTCATTTAGAGTTAAATTTTAGTAGGTCTTATGCTCATGTAGATTTTAGCGTGTTTTTATACTTGTAAGAAGCCTGGGCTGCCGATAATAGTATCACAATACAGTGGTTGCTTTCTGAGTATAAAGGCTTTTAGAGTGGAAGTTAATGATTATATTCTCCATAGGCTCTATTACTTTGACTTTTAGTAGCAGTTAGAAACTGTAATGCTTGGCTTTACTGGGTCAGATTAGGAGAATAAGCTCTAGTAACTTCATTTTTATTGATAAAAAAATAGAGGTCGGGGCTGGGGATTTAGCTTAGTGGCATAAGCACCTGACTTGCAAGCAGGCAGTTGTGAGTTTGATCCCTGGTACCGATAAAAAAGAAAAAGACAAAAAAAAAAAAAAAAAATAGAGGTCAAGGTTAAAATTAGTCTACTCATTATATATGACTAAAATTAGTTTTATGAGTTAGGCCATTTTTGTGAAAACTAGAATTAAAACATGACCTAATAATGCCTTAATCATATTTGAATATCAGATGATAAGGAAAATTATGTAGTTTTGATATGATATGTTTTAGAATATGTTTTCAATAAATTAGGTGATGTATTGAATTGTATTTTTTGGTTTTTCTTTTTCTTTTTTTTTGTCTTTTTCCTTTTTTATCGGTACCAGGGATTGAACTCACGACTGCCTGCTTGCAAGGCAGGTCCTTATGCCGCTGAGCTAAATCCCCAGTCCCCTTTCTTTCTTTTTTTGAGACAGGGTCTTGCTATATAGTCCCAGCTGCCTTTGAATTTGTAGTTGTAGTCCTTCTGTCTTAGCTTCCTGAGTGCTGGGACTACAGGTGTGTGCCGCCACCCTGGGCCTTAGTTGCATCTTTTTTTTTTTTAACTAGGAAGTGAACTCAGGGCCTTGCACTTGCTAGGCAGGCCTCTTGTGCCACTGAACTATCTCCTTAGCTGTTTAGTTGCATCTTTAGTGTTGTTTGAACGCTTGTCTATAGTGAGCCAGCTTTGGTTTTGTTAAGGTAATTTTAATTTAGTCTTAAGATGGTTAAGCATATATTAAAAAGTTGCTCTTTTAAAAGTTGGAATGGGAATGGATAAAAAAGGTATGGTATTTTTATACAATGGAGTACTACTCATCTATAAAGAATGATCACATTGAGATATTTCTAAGTAAGTGTATGCAACTTGAGACCATACTTATAAGTGAAATAAATAAAACTCACATGAGTAAATACCATTGTCTTCCTATTATAAGAAATGGTAAGAGTACATACGATACAAAATCCTCAATAAATACAGTGAAAGCATAAGAGTCTGCTCAAAGGGGGAAAAAATAATATCTCAGGGAAAAGGAAAAAGAGAAAGGGAAAAGAAAAAAAAGTACATTTATATAAACACACTTAGGATAGCCAAGATGATTGTGCCACAAATTCTATATAAGATGATAGAACAAAGCAGTTAATATTCATAGGATTGGAATAATTTTGCATGTTTGTGTCTAGTGACCTTAGGAGCTCTTGAAGATCACACTGTAAAATAACTATCTTAGTTATATTCCTACCATCTTGTTTTGAAGGCCTGTGTCATCATTGCTCTATTTATTTATGTGTCTTTTTTGTTTCTTATTTTTCTAGTAATCTGGTTTTTGTTTTGTTTTTCCCTCTAATGTAGAAAGGATAGATATACATGTATTGGCTTATATGTGTGTAGAACATCTCCTAAACAGTTTATGAGAATTGATTGTTATGTGTGATGCAATGAACAGCTACTTTGAAGAAAAACATACATGGTATCCATTGCTGATTCCATATTGTTATGCTGTGAAATCTGTTTCAGTAACGCTTCTGTTCTTTGTTCAGAGTGGTTTTAGTCTGTTCTGTATTGTTTAATTTCAACATACATGACGGTGTGGCAGGTCTTTTGAAGAGAGCAAGAGACATTATGGCAGCCATTGTTAATTTTCCTATTGTCTGGTTTTCAAGGCCTGTAATGCCTTCATTTCTCTGTTCTGATCAGTTTTATACTATTTTGTTCCTGTACTTCAGCCAGTTTCATTTACCTATTTTATGACTGTGATACATTTGTCAAAACTAAGAAACCAACATTAGCCTGTTAGTGTAAACTCCAGCCTCTTAAGATTTCACCTGTTTTTTTCATGCCACATGTATTCTGTTCTAGAATTAAATTCATGATTCTACCTTGCTTTTAGTTATCCTGTTTCCTTAGTCTTCTCCAGTCTGCAATGGTGTCTCGTTCTTGTCTTATATGACCTTGATATATTTTGAAATACTAGTCAGACACTTTAAGCCCATTGATTTTGTGTGTCCTCCCCATCCCTTCTCCTTTCCCCCTCCCCTCCCCATCCCCTCCTTTTTACAAGGAGGAGAAATTTGTTTTTGCTTATTCACAGTCTTGTCTTACATGACCTTGACATATTTTGAAATACTGGTCGGATACTTTCTGCCCATTCCTTGTATTCCTTTTGTCTTGTCTTCCCCTGCCCTCTCCTCCTCTCCCCCTCCGTCTTCAAAGGAGGAGAGGTTTGTTTTTACTTTTTCAGGGTTTTCTGATTGCCCTACCCCCTTCATGATTAGATCTCATAATAATGAGGTGAAGATTTTACATACTGCATTGTAGAATTTGGGGGAGGCTAACATATGAAGTACCCCTCTTGGCCTCATTTCAACAAGTTCCCAATATCCATTGGTGTTACTGACCTTGAGAGTTTGCTAGTTTTCTTCGTTGTACAGTTACTGTTTTCCCTTCTGAACTCTGCTCACTGGCAGCGCATCACTTAAGACTAGCCCACATTCCAAGGGACCAGTGGCAAGTCAGCTCCCCTCTTAGAGAGGAAGTAATTTTAAAATTAATTTTACTGATACATGGAAACAAATTGTGCAGATTAATGGAGAAAGATGTTTCACTACACTATAATGTCTAGACTGTGTAATGTTTAAATTAGGTTAAATATATGTTTCTTCAAATATCTATCATTTAATGTAGGATGAAAACATTCAAAATCCTTTCTTCTGGCTTTTTGAAATGCATAGTACTCTATTGTTATCTGTAGTCACTTTGTCAGGCAGTAGCACAACCAGAATTTCCCTTCCCTAATTTAGTCTCCATGAATCAAAATTTTCTCCTTTCTCCTCCTCATGGATAAAGTGTGTGTGTGTGTGTGTGTGTGTGTGTCTCTGTCTGTCTCTGGGACAGGGTCTCAGTAAGTCCAGGGTCTCAGTAGTCTAGGCTGTCTTGGAAGCAGTAGTGTAATTCAGGCTGACCTTAAGCTTGCAATTCTCCTGCCTCAGCTTTCCAAGTGCTGAATTACCCCATGGTCAACTAGATAATTGGTTTTGACTTTTGATTATAACTTACCAGTGGATTACTTTTAGTCACTAGTGGCTTTTATACAGAAGTTACATTTGATTGTGAATGAAGTGCAAATTGATACAGCTTTTTTGAAAGGAAATGTGGTATAAATGATGTGATTTTTTAAAATTTAAAAATAAAGGCGAGTAAGCTAAAAGGACATAACACAGGTCAGAACTGAACAATTTAAGCAACATAGTGTTTCACCACAAGATAACCTGACATAACAGTAGTTACATTAGTGTCTCTTTCCTTGAAATATTTGAGTATACCTTCATATACTATAGCATCAAATATAACAAGATAGTGTAAAACCATTCAAGAGGATGAAAGTATTACAGGATATTTAGAACCAACTAACAGAAAATGAACAATGGTTTCTATATTATCTCGTCTATAAAAAAATTTTGTTTATATCACATATAATATCCACTAAGATACAACATGGTAAAACCGATGGAGACAGAAGAACAAAAGCTTGATGGGACTTCAAAACAAGCTGATATTGGGGCTGGGGATTTAGCTCAGTGGCATAAGCACCTGCCTTGCAAGCAGGCAGTCATGAGTTCCATCCCTGGTACCGATAAAAAGGAAAAAAGACAAAACAAAACAAGCTGATATTAAATCAGCACTAGCTATTATAATGTCTTGTTTTCTTCCAAGTAACTGTTCATACCATCACAAACAGTAAAATCAGACAATGCAGAATAAAATTGTTCCAATTAATGAATGAAAACATTATAAGGCTTCAAAACAATATAATAGGGAATCATGATTACCACATACTTTTATGTATTCTTAGCATTTCTTGCACTAGGAAAGCTATTCGGTATTTATACTTGTGAGTTTGATTTATTTCGCTTATGAGTATGGTCTCAAGCTGTGCCCATTTATTTATAAATACCTCAATGTTATCATTCTTTATAGCTGAGTAGTACTCCATTGTATAAAAATAGCACAACTTTTTTATCCGTTCCTCAGTTGATGGACACTTAGGTTGTTTCCAAGATGAGGGTGTGATTTAAGAGCACAATTTAGGGGAATAGCATGACCAATTTGATTTACACATTTGTCTGTGTTTAGACATGTAGTACGTGGAGATGGATACAGATTTAGAATGAGTTGCAGAGGTTATTAGTTAGTTCCCTCATAACTCAAAGATTTATATAGTAATCTGGAAGAGTTATAGACCAGACAGAGACTTGGGGGTGGTATAGTGATAAATGCTGTTACGTTCTGTGTATCTTACTATTTTTAGTTATATAATCATCTTTTAGTAGAGCAGAATATATTCTTATCAGTTACTGATTCTAATGAAGGCTCATTATTTTTGCGCACAGAACTTGATTCTCTTATAAGAGTATACTTTTAGCTGGGCATCATGGTGTACATACACCTGGCCTGTAATCTCAATGCTCAGGTGGCTGAGTTCAAGACTAGCCTGTACTATATAGAGAGAGACCCTGTCTCAAAAAATCTCACCCCCCCAAAATGTATTTTCCACTGTTTTGATCTTTTTTTTTTTTTTTTTTTTTTAAAGCAGTTGTACTTGTATTTTAAGTGAAAATGTTGATTTAAATGGTAACTGGTAGTTTTAGCTAGAAGTTCAGTCATTATGTGTGAGATTGGCTAGGTAGAACTTCAATTAAAAAATTTATTTTTATATTTTATTCTTTCAATTTTCTTTTTCTTTTTTTGGGTAGGATGTTGGTGTGTTGCCCAGGCTGCATGTAATGCCTAAGCTAAAGTCATCTTTTTGTCTTAGCTTTTTTTTTTTTTTTGCCTCAGCTTTTGGAGTACCTGCAGCAATAGGTGTGTACCACAATGCCAGTTTAGTGTACTTTTTCTTTTTCTTTTTTTGTCTTTTTGCAACAGGGTCTGTCTATGCAGTTTAGGCTGGCCTTGAGCTCACTTTGTAGCCTAGGCTGGTCTCAAGCTTGAAATGATCCTCCTGCCTCAGCCTCCCGAGTGCTGGGATTACAGGTGTGAATCATCACGCCCAGCTAGTGTATGTTTTCTTAACTCCAGAATTTTCTAGGCAGTCAAAATTACTCATTTTAATAAGAAAATGTATAAAATGTTTGCTGGGTTTTTTTTTTTTTTTTTTTTTTTTTTATCGGTACCAGGGATCGAACTCCCAACCACACGCTTGCAAAGCAGGCGCTTATGCTGCTGAACTGAATCCCCAGCCCATGTTTGCTGTATTTTTATTTTTGTTGTTTTTTCCCCATTTTCTCCTTTCTAGAAACAATTTTTTTGAGACAGGGTCTCGCCATGTAGTGTATCTCGCTTTGGCCTAAACTTGTGGCAGTTTTCCTGCCTCAGCCTCTAAAGGGTTGAGATTACAAGTATATAGTACCATACTTGGCCTGATTTTCTTATATGAGCAGAATCTTAAAGTAACTAGAGTGGAGTCATTTCTGTTTTCCTTTTTATTTTACGGAACTGGGGACTAAACCCAGGGGCCTCGTGTTTCCTAGGAAAGCAGTCCACCACTGAGCTGCATCCTTATCACATTTTATTTTATTTTGACACAAGGTTTGGCTAGGTTGTCCAGGTGGGACTTGAATTTGCAATCCTTCTGCCTGTTTCCCAAGTAACTTGAATTTATAGTTATGTACCACCAGGCCTGGCCAGAGTCTCTTGTTTTCTGGAGCAGAGTATATTTTAGTAGGTACTATTAGGTAAGTGAAGTTACTGGAAAAATATAATGAGATATTAAATTTAGTCAAACCTATTTGGTTTGGTTGCTAAAAAGCTAAGTCAAAGTCTCTCTCAGTCTCAGTCTCTCTTTTAGTGACTCCTTTGAGACAGGGTCTTTCTTTGTAGATCACGCTGGCCTTGAACTCACTTACGTAGCCCAAACTGACCTGGAATTTAAGGTAATCCTGCTGCCTCAGCCTCTCAAGTGCTGGGATTACAAGCATGTGCCACTATATGTGCCACTATGCCTGGCTCAAAGTACTTACCTGTTTTTTTTTTTTTTTTTTTTGTCTTTTTGAGACAGTGTTTCACTGTGCAGTTCAGGCCAGCCTTGCACCCAGGCAGGCCTTGAACTCACAGTGATCCGAGTGCGGGGATTATAGGCAAGCACCACCACACCTGTCTAGTACTTACTTCTTAAAGATTGGAAATTGAATTTATTTTCAGGGGTGGGAGTGGAATGTTAATGATAACAGTATGGCTATTGTGGCAATAAACTCTAATTTGATACAATAAAGGACAATAAGATTTTATTCACAACCGGGCATAAAAAAATTATTCATTAGGACACCTGTGTTTCTGTGTAGTCTATAAGTTAGAAGTGTATATAACCAGCTGTTTATTGATTTAGAAGTTCTGAGGGTGCATTTTTGCACCTCTGGGTTTAAACAGTACAGCACTTGGATGTCATAAAAATGCTAAGTGTCGATTGTGTGACTTTCAAGACCATTTTAACAGGCGTGGTAACTGGGAAAGCATTTAGCTGATTCTCTGATGCTGTTCCTTCCTTTGCCCTTTTGGGCCAGTTTCAGTGAACAGAGGTAGAACTCTCAAAAAGCAGTGTTAACTTTTAAAATAAAATCATTTTTATACATAAGAATATAGTTTTAAAGTTAATATTTTTATTAGTACATGCTTGCAGTACATGATTACATTCATTGTGTGGAGCTGGTACATGTAGGTAATATCTGAATTATTTTTACATCCCCTCACCTCCCTTCCTCTTTATCACTTGGTGCCTTTCCATTTCCCTGTTCCCTGTTAGCTATCTTTTATTTTGCTTGTTAAATTATTTGTACTTGGGGTTTTTTGTGTAAGAGAAACTATGTAGTATTTAAGCGTAGTATTTATGTGTCTTTTTCACCTAACATTATGGTCTTAAGGTGCATCTTTTTTCCTACAAATGATTCAAAGTTATCCGTCTTTATGACAGAGTAGTACTTCATTGTTTAAATACCACATTTTCCTATTCTGTTCATCTGTTGATGGACATATAGGCTGTAGATTTAGCTGTTTTGAGTTGTGCTGCTATAAACATAGATATTCATGTATCACTGAAACATGATGTCCTTAACTCTTGGGAGGATACTGTACCTAGAAGAAAATAGCTGGGTCAAATGGAATTTGTATTTTTAATTTTTTTCCCAGTCAAATTTTATTGGTACACTTTAGATATACATAATGATGACATTCATCATAGAGAATTTGTAACTTTTTTCTTCCTTTTTTCCTCCATTCCTCTATCCTTTATTTTTAGTTTTTTAAAAGGATCCTCCATATTGATTTCCATAGAATTTTTACTAATTTATCTTCCCACCAACAATGTAAAAGAGTTACTGTTCCTCCATAGCCTCACTGGCATTTGCTATTAGATTTCTTGATGATAGCCATTCTTTTGGGACTAAGATATAATCTCAGTATTGTTTTTCCATTTCTGTAGTGACCAGAGATGTTGAATATTCTCTCATGTATTAATTGGCCTGTGTACTTCTGAGAAGTGTTTATTTATCTCAATTTCCAGTTATTATTATTTTTTTCTCCTGGGAATCAAACTCAGGCGGGTGCTGTGCCTCTGAGCTGAATCCTTGGCCCTACCTGTTCTTTTGACTGAGTTGTTCATTGAGGGGAAATGTGGAAATGTAATGTTTTGAATTGCTTGCTTTCTTTTCTCTCCCCTCCCCTCCCCTCCTCCCCTCCCCTCCCCTCCCCTCTCCTCTCCTTTTCTTTTCTTTTCTTTCTTTGGAACTGGGGATTGAATTCATGACCTCGCACTTGCCAGGCAGGCACTTATGCCACTGAACTAAATCCCTGGCCCTGAATTTCTGTATATATCCTACTCGTTTTTTGTTTGAGGGATAGCTGATAAAAACATTTTCCCCCATTCTGTAGGTTGTCTTTTTACTCTGTTGGTTGTTTCCTTTGGTATGGGATGCCTTTTAATTTGATATCTTATTTGTTTAAGCTAGATGTTATTTTGTGCAATTAGAATTCTGTTCAGAAAGTCCTTTCCTATGCTCCTGTCTTCAAGTTTTACCTATTTTATCTTCCAGCAGAGTGTTTTAATACCTAAGTCTTTCATCCATTTTTTGAACAAGATTGTGCATTGTAGTGCAAGCTGGCATTGAGCTCTCTATGTAGTCCAGGCTGGTTTTGAATTCATTGTCTCAGTCTCCTGATGTCTCCTAATTCCTGGGATTATAGGCATGCGCCAGTCATGCCTAGCCTATGGTCCATTTTGCTTTTATTTTAATACATAGTGAGAGATTTGAGTCTAGATTAAGAGTACTGTTTTTATAGTATAAAAAGCTTCTCTTTTAAAGGTTTTGAAATATAAAAATATCTTTTCCAGATCTACCATTGACTTTAAAAACAACAACCAAAAAGTCTTAGTAGCAAGTAGGTAGGTTTTGTATTGGTGGTCCATTCTGTATTTAATTCAGCCTGTATTTTCCCTTCATCTTTCTTGTATAATGTAATTTTATTTATATTTCACATTCATTTTTGAGCATCCTTGCTCTGAGATGTTAAGGGTTGTTTTTTGGGGATTGAAAAACCTGACCTTGTAGGTCTGTTGGAAGTGCTGAGATGATAGTGTCTCTCTCAACATCTGGAGCTGACCAGGACTGCTTACACTTTCATCCCTTAGAGTGCACAGTTAGCTCTGAATGTGTTGCAGGTGTTAAGGAAACACCTTTTAAATGAGACCTAGGAGAAATTACATATTACAGAGTTGTCCTCAAGTCTTTGGGTCATTCTCAGACTGGTGTTTGAAACAGCACTAGGGGTAGTGGTGGTATAAGCTTGAAATTCCAGCGTTCAGGAGGCTGAGGCAGGAGGGTTGCCACAAGTTCCAGGCTAGGCTGGGCTACATAGTTCAAGGCCACTCTGCATTACATAGTGAGACCCTGTTTCAATCACTCCCTCCCCCAAAAGAAAGAAACAGTGTGGAAGTTATGCTAAAGAGGGGCAAATCTTTTACAGATAATGTGGACAGTTCTCTGCAGTGCAGCTGCCATTTGCCTTTTCATGAACAGTGATCATCCTTCCATGTGTAACACCTGCATTTGTGTCCCATAGTCGTCCAGTACTCATCTTACTAAGTGCCACTTACAAATGGTTTCTAAGACTGATTGTCAGTTTCTAATTTGTGTGCATGTGCTGCGGATGGAACCTGCAGCTAAGGTGCATCCACGACCTTTCCTGGAGACTATGAGGTTGGAACTTGTTTCACAGTAACTAAACACCATTTTTGCCTTTTTGTCTGTATTGACATTTATACTGTCAGTGCAAAATCAATCATGTTTAAACTCTTTGAATGCCTTACTGTGAATGCCTAAGGCCATGTTAGTAGTTTCTGTATTCTTTCCCACCACATACTTAATTTTAAAAAGACAGTTTCAGGGGAGCCTGTCTTTAATAAGGGTTAAAAGATAATGAACTTGGGGCTGAGGATTTAGCTCAGTGGCATAAGCGCCTGCCTTACAAGCAGGCGGTTATGAATTCAATCCCTGTTACCGATAAAAAACCGAAAAAGACAAAAAAAAAAAAAAAGATAAACTTTTGAGCCTTGGGTGTATGTATTTACTATTCTGTGCTGTGAAACGGGATGCACCTTTGCTGCACACTGAAACTTAAGTGGTGGTTTCCAACAAATTGACCCCATGGCCTTTGCACGGAATCCACATGTCCACCTGTTTTTAATTTGGTAGTTTTATTTACTTATTTATTTGTATTGAGACAGGATCTCCCTGAGTAGTAGTTCAGGCCAGCCTTGATACTGCATTGCTTCTCTTCTTTCAGCCTTGCACTGGGGGCTGTAACTGCCACATTCAGTCTATTTTTTATTTTGAGACAGGGTCTCACTAAGTAAATTGTTCAAACTGGGTTTGAACTTGAGATCCTCCTGCTTCACTCTCCCAAAGTGCTGAGATTATAGGCATTTGTCACTTTGCCAGGCTTGAAGATCACATTTGGCATTCCTGTAATCCCAGCACTTGGGAGGCTGAGGCAGGAGGATCATTCAAAGTTTATGACCAGTTTGGGCTACACAGCTCAAGGCCAGCCTGAACTACATAGTGAGACCCTGTCTCAAAAGACAGAAAAAGAAAATGACATTTGTATTTGTAATTGTGATTATGGTTATTAAATCATGCTTTTTTGGTGGACATTTTCTCAAAAACTGAATTAACTAACCTGTTGCTTCAAGGAAAACTGACAGTTGATAGTATATGCTTTTAGTGAGAAAATTTGAACTTTAATGAAAAATTAGGATTTTGGAGAACTTAGGTCTTGCCACCATGTACATGCCAGTTTTGTAATAGACACTTAGGACATGTTTTTTGATTTTGTACAATGAAATGTGTCACTATTGGGAAGATACGTGTAAGTCAGTGAACCATTATTTTCCTAATGGCCAGTGTGTGATAGGTTATGATACTTGGGCAAAAGACTCATACAAAATACAAGATAGAACACTGAACTTTAGCAAATTTTGGCATGATGGTAACAAAGTATGTCCAGAAAAGTCTATCAAAATACTCTTTTTAACTGTATTTTTAAAACATTTCACCAGATTGAATATAAAAACATGAGAATTTTTTCATTAGCTGTGTATTGAAGAGATTTAAAGAATGATCGGGGGAAAGATGCCACTTTGTAGTTTATTCTTTTTCTTGCTGGTATTGAGGATTGAGTGCAGGACCTTGTGTCTGCTAGGAAAGCACTCCACCACAGAATTATATCCCTAGTCTTTTTTTTTTTTTTTTTTTTTCTTTTTTGAGAGAGGCTCTCACTAGGTTGCCCAGGCTAGCCTTGAATTTAATATCCTCCTGGCCTCTGCCTCCTCAGTACCTGACATCATACATATGCACTTGGCACTGAATTGTTTTTGTTTTGGAAATGATTGTTTTTGATAAAAAATGACCTAAGTTGGCTAGGGTTATAGGTCAGTGGCATAGTGCCCATCTAGCATGTGAAAGGTCCTGAGTTCAATTCCAGGTGCAAACCCAAAAAACAAAACAAAAAGATGTTCAGAAGTGTAAACTTTGCTGTTACTTTTTGTGAGTGTGCATGCATGTGAGTGATATGTGGGGTATTGCTCCTACTAGGTAAGCACTCTTCCACTGAGGTAGGTCTTATTACTTTTTAGTAAAGTAATATTTTAATTGCTAAAGTGGTAAATATTGACAAGTACAACATATATAAAGCTCTTTAAGATCCTGAGTTTTAGTGATCATGTACAGGCTAGTGAGACTAGAAGTTTGACAGGCATTACTCTATAAAGTGTTGAGTTGTCAGGTGGTGGTAAAGTCTGTGAGTTGCTTTAATTGTGCTCAACATAATGTCTAGGGGCTGGGGATTTAGCTCAGTGGCATAAGCACCTGCCTTGCAAGCAGGCAGTCGTGAGTTCGATCCCCGGTACCGATAAAAAAAGAAAAAGACAAAAAAAAAAAAAAAAAACATAATGTCTAGACTATTACAGATTCTTTAATAAAATATTTGAATTAGATTGAATTGTATAGTAAATGATGAAAATACACATTGAACCTAGGAGAAAACATGGTGGTGTTATATAAAAGATGAGAATCTTTTTTTTTTTTGGTCTTTTTGAGACTGTGCAGTTTAGGTTGGCCTTGAGCTTGCTTTGTAGCCCTGTCTGGTCTTAAAACTTGGCAATAGTCTTCCTGCCTCGGCCTCCTGAGTGCTGGGATTATAGGCGTGTGCCACCATGCCCTGCTGACAAGCATTTTTCACCTAGTAAACAGTGTCACATTCGCATTGTATTTTCTAAATTCTCAAGATAGTTTTTTCTACATTTTAACATCTTTGAAATTGAGATGTTTTAAAATTGGTGGTGAGTCACTTTGATGTAGCTTTTTTCTTCCTTGTGTCATAAAATGATGGTGTGTTGTACATGTAATGAAATAAGTATCTTTTATGTTGAGAGAAGGGAACATTGGATTGCAGTTCAATTTGTAGCTACAGGATATGCTGCATTAGTTGTTTTTCTTCATCAGGTGCTGAATTTACTCTGGGAAATTGACAGTGAGCTGCTTTTGGAATATTCCATTCGTAAGCAGTTACCTTTATTTTGACCAGGCGTCTATTATACAGACATGCATTTATTTACTTATTAATTTATTTTGGTGCCGGGGATTGAACTCATGACCTCGAGCTTGCAAGGCAGACGCTTATGCCGCTGAGCTAAATCCTGGGCCCTATATAAGCTTTTAAACCTATCTCTTGTTTTTCATAATAAAAGCTACTTCTCTGTTTACCTTTTTTGTTGTTTTTGAAACAGAGTCTTACTATATAGTCAGAGCTGTCCTTGAACTTCTATTGTTTCTGCTTCAGAATCCCATGTCATAGGATTACTGGTTTTCTATTTAATCGTATAGTTTTCATCTTTTTTTAAAAAAAAAAAATCTTTCCAGTAAGTCTATTTAAAGATGTTACTGGTTTGTTTTGATATTTATTTATTTATTGTTGAAACAGGGATTAGCTATGTAGTTCAGACTGGCCTTGTGCTCACTATCGAACCTAGCTAGCCTCCAACTCATGGTGATCCTCCTGCCTCAGCCTCTCAAGTGCTGGGACTGCATGTGTCTGCCACTATGCTTAGCTTTGTTTTATTCTTTGTAAAAAAGAATTGGACCATAATATGGAGATATGAAGTATTACTAAATAGTGTAGGCATTCCTAAAAATAAGTTTAAGGTAGGAAAAGAGCCTTCCTTGGAAAAATGAGTCAGATCTTTTAGGAAAGGCTTTATGGGAAAAGCTAATTTTTTTTTTGAGGCCAGGCCTCACTGTGTAGTTCAGGCTTGGCTTGAGCTCACTTTGTAGACCAGGCTGGTCTCAAACTCGCAAAGATGTGTCTGCCTTAGCCTCCTGAGTATTGGGATCGTAGACCATGCAGCATTATGCCTGGCTGGAAGAAGCTAAATGTTACAAAGACAGAGGTGGACACCTACAAGTAGGAGGTGAGCAGTCGCAGGGCTTGATGAAAAGATCCAGGGATGTGAACAGTCATTATAAGTAGCTGTGTAATTAATTGTACTAGAGTGTATCCTTTGTGACCAAGGTTGTGTGAGATGCTGTAAGGTGAACAGGCTGAGCTTTTGGCGTTTTCTACTGTTGGGGACTCTCTGCAGGTCTGATGTTTTTCCAGATAGGCAGTTTCTCATCCATTAACCAAAGAAGGCTCTTGGGAAAGAATTTCTCCACAGAGATTGTTGAAACCTGATCAATGGCCGGTGCCATTGATAGGGAAAATGAACAGAGTAGTGACATGTTACAAGAGAAGGCTTAAGATAGTATTTTGAAATGCATATACTTTCTCAGATAATGTGCTGTGTTTGAAGAAGTAAAATGCTGTAAAATCACCATCACAAATTGGGATTTGCTTCTGTCTTTGCTTTGGTCTTCTAATTGAAAAAATGCCTATAATTTGTTTTGAAGTTTGTGTGAAAAGGTACATGAATGCTTTTAGGATATAGTTCATAGTTTACCTAGGAATTACAGTGCTTCTAGCAGAAGTTCAGAAATAATGTGGCTACAATAGAAAGTAAGTATGCAGGCAGAGAAGGGCAGGCTGAATATCTGCTCATTTTGGTGTTCGTCCTGAAGTGCTGCTCCTATGTCACATGAAGGCTTCATGTAGAAGGGAAAGAAAGAGAATGAGGTGGCATCTTCTGTACAATCATCATTTTTCTCCTTTTCCTTCTTAGTTATACTAAGAACTCAAGGCCTTTGCATTAGCTACATCCCCAGCCTATTCATTCATTTATTTAGAAAGTGTCTTGCCAAGTCACTGAGTTGCTCAAGCTGGCCTTGGAACTTGAGATCCTCTTGTCTCAGCCTCCCAGAGTGCTGGATTACAAGTAGACTCCATGATGCCTGGCTTGCACACCTATCATTTTAGAAACTTTTCTGCATATCTTTCCCTACAAATTGTGCCGATAATCTTGGGTGAGAAATGATAGCTGACTAACCTGAACTGCAATAGAAGGTGGGAAATATGGCTTCTTGATTGCCCTAAAAATTTTGTTTTGTACCAGGAATCAAACAATGAAAGCAATACAGGACTTTTAAACAGGATAATAGGAAATCAACAGTGGCTATCATAATGCCTCTTGTTATCTTCAAAATTGCTGTCCATACCATCAGACATAATAAAATCAAACAGAACATCAAATAAAACAGGACTAAACAAAATAGAACAATGTTGGATTTCAAAAGCAAAAGAAGGAAATACCCCATAGTTGCTATATTGTATATTGTTATCCTCTTAATAGATGTTCAGACTAGCAGCCTTAGGCATTTTGTATTTTCAGATTAGGGTGGCTCAACTTGTTTTGAAATTTTTTGATTAAGAAAGTCAGAGTTTTTTTATACTGTATATTAATGTATAAATTCTAGTCACACAAAAAATTGTTTCAACTTTTCAATAGTAAGAGAGGGGTGCTTTAAGTTCTGAGTAATATTTCAGAACCAAATCTTATGTTGATAGAATTCACCGGTTAAAACACAGTAGTAGGCTGCATTGTAGATCTTTTTCATTTAGTTACCATGTTTGTTTGAGACAGTCTTGCTTTGTAGTTCAGGCTGGCCTTGAACTCATGCCAATCTTCTTGCCTCATTCTCCCAAGTGCTAGGATTACAGGTGTATGCCACCATGGCCAGCAGTTGCCTCATTTTTATGGTAAAACCAAACTTAGGGAAGCAGGGAAAGCCACCTGCAGTATTACATGACTGTAATCTCAGCTGCTTGAAAGGTAGAAGCAGGAAGATCACAAGTTTGAGGCCAACCTGGGCAACTTAAGCTGTCAAAAAAGCCCCCCCAAAACAAAAGAAAAGCTGAGCATGCAACACAGTTGCAGACTCACTTGGCATCAGTAAGGCTTACTTGCCTTACTGGGTTCTGTGGGTTCAATCACCAGCGCTGGAAAGGAAAAAAAAAGATAATTCAGATTGAATTGCATAATGATTTTACTAAATTACCTGCTGAAAAAATACTGAGTAGAAAGTTTTTTTCCAGTTCACTGTGAAAAACCCCAGATACTCCATAAATACGGAAAAAATAGAATAATGTATACCTATATCCCTTCTCACCGCGTGGACTCAATGTTTTTGCTATATTTGCTTTATTATGTATATTTTCAGTTGAATCATTTGAGTAAGTTGAAATATCATGACATTTGAACCTAGTTACTTTAAAGTGCATCTCCAAGAGTAAAAACTTTTCCTATATAATCACAGTACCTACCATTATCACACCAACAAGTAGTAATTCCATTTATGTCATGAAACATTCCTACAGGAAATGTCCAAATGGTGATATTTTTAGTATAGTTATTTTCACAGGAAGAAACACATTCTTACTCCTTAAACAATCTAGCATGAGGCTAAAAAGAAAAAACACAAAAAATTGCTTTAAAATCCTTGGTATCCTAGTGGGAAAAAGTTTTCATACATTCTAATATGTAGTCAGCTTTTATATCACAGTTTAAGGTTGTAGTTATAGTTGCATTTTTTTTTAAACTAGCAATTTCTGTGGGATGTACTTGAAGTGGACCTATATTGAGTTGATTCATTTTTAAAGCAGAGTAACCAAAAGGAGCCCAGGTGGATATTTGTTACAGGTAAGTTTATTTTACTCCAACTATAGAGATAGGATAAAATTATAGTAAAATATAAATTGTATTTGGAATAGTTTGATTGTGTTAACTGCATGATGAGGAAAGAATCCTTTTGCTTTGTACCCATATTAAAATCTTAACGAGCTAGGCTTGGTGGCAAATCCCACCTGTAATCCCAGCACTTGGGAGGCTGAGGCAAGAGTGAGTTTGAGGCCAGCAATGAGTAGTCAGGTATAGAGATCAAAGCTATCCTGAACTATGTAGCAATAACATGTCTCAAAAAAGGGAAACAAAAATATTGTGAAGTAGATGTCAATTTTTCTGCCTATAAAAAATGTGGAATGGTGAGTAAAATTGGAACCTTAAGATTAAAGACCGGAGACAGTCTTTAATAGAAAAATGCTACTTGCCACAGAGGGTTATCATACTATAGGTGAAATTGTGATGTCTGGTGGTTAGCACAGAATCTGATACATGAGTACTTCAGGATTGGCTTTAAAACAAAAAAAGAAACTGTGTGGAATATATGTTGATTTGGAACTATTAATACCACAATCTTTTGCCATAATGGGGACTGAACCTGGCCTTGCACATGCACACTAAGCAATACCCCTAGCCTTTATTATTTGTTTTGGTTTGGGTTTTTTGGGGCACCAGGGATCAAACTTGCAACCTTCTGCTTGCCAGGCAGGTGCTAATGTCGCTGAGCCAAATCCTCTGCCGTATTATTTGTTATTTTGAGATAGGATCAGAAGTGCCCAGGCTCATCTTGTGATTCTTGCTTCAGTCTCTTGAGTGACTGGGTTATGGGTATGTACCATTATGCCCAGTATAATTGCCAGAACACGTTAATGGTTACTGTCCACCCCTAATAATACATATGGTCATTTGACAATAGTGAACTAGGCGAATTTAAAGCAGATTGATTTTATGTGACCTTTGTACAGCATTTTTTGTTTTGTTTTTTGTTTTTTGTCTTTTTCCTTTTTATTGGTACCAGGGATTGAACTCACGACTGCCTGCTTGCAAGGCAGGCGCTTAAGCCGCCGAGCTAAATCCCCAGCCCCATCCCCAGCATTTTTGAAATGGAGTCTCCTTAAGTTACCAAGTTACCCAGGCTGAGTTCGACCTTGTAATTCTGAGTGCTGGAATTATAAATGTGTGCCACCTGGCTTGGAATTGCTAGTCTTAATAGAACATATTTTCAACTTGACTAGAGAAGAAAAAAAAATCACCCTTGAAACTGGTTGAAATTTACAATGATGTGAACAACACATGAGTCTGTTAGGCCAACACTTGTCGACTTTTCCAGTATTTACCCATCTGCTGGATATAAAATGGTATCCTAATGTTTTGTGTTCTAATCAAATTTTTTTTAGTGTCTTTTCTGTGTCAGACCCTTTGCAAGGCAGTAAAGATGCCACCAAGAGGAGCAAGACATGGCTTTTCTACTCTAGGAAACTTGCATTCTAGGAGAGATGGATTTTGTCAATCTATGAATGCCAAAGGGACCCAGAAGCAAATGATGTTCATCTCACTTGAGGAAATGGAGCTGTTGAGAAAGATGAAGCCTGACTTTTGTTTTGAAAGATGAGTCACAGGAGATCTTCCCTTCTCGTTGACAACTTCTTGTCCTCCCCTCTGCAGTCCACCTATGGTGCCGACTCCCAGGAGAGGGCTGGCACCTGGCTTTTCTCATCAGCCCACACAGGGCACCAACTTTTTGTTTTATTTTGCTTGGTTTTATTCTCTTTAAAATAAAATTTAAAAAAATTTTTTTTAAAAAGATGAGTAAGCATTTTGGATTTGAAGGACATTGTAGAAAGAGGAAGTAGGCAAAGATGACAGTAAAACCACATCATTTAAGGTATTTGAGTGTTAGTGACTATGCAGAGCCCTGAGATGGATGAGGACGAGGCTAAGCAGAGAAGAGACTGTAGAGGTAGGCAGCTGCAGGGACCCAGAGAGAGGTGGTTAAAAGTTTTAAGTGAGATACGACTAGGAGAGCAGGTTCACCCCCTCCCCCAGTTTAGAAATGGATTCTGGTATTTAAAATAATGGACAAACATGAAATTTCAATTCAAACTTGCTGACATACTGCTATTTATTACTGCTTTTCTGAAACAGGTAGATGGAAATTATTTTTCCTTTGAATTGGGAGTTGGTAGTTTGCTACCTTAGTGGGAAGATGGAATGAACTGTGGCCTTGTACACAATACATTTGCACTCTCTCATCCATGTGCCTTAGTGTTAAGTGGGACAACATATGGTCTTCACAGTGTTTCCTTTTACCATGTAGAAATAGGTGTAGTTTTATAATAGGAGTGGTAATTTTAAGAATTTGTATTTTTGGATAATCTTTGTAAAGATATTTTCAATCTTTGTCTTATTTTTGAAACATCATAGCAAATACAAATATAGAACTTCCTTTTATAAGCCAGAATGCCTCTTAATCAGTTCTGTGTGTGTGTGTATAGATGGTGATAGCAAATGTTCTTTGAATTTCTTGCTGCTTTTGGTGTCCTTAAGCTGCTCCTCTTCTATCCTCCTATCTTCCTTCCCTTTTTCTTCTTCTTGTTTTTAATCCAGGGCCTCTTGCCTACTAAGTAAGCACTAGACAGTACTTGCCTGCTAAATAAGGACTAGACAGTACCACAGAGTTACATGCCCACACAAAAGTTTTATTTTGAGGCAGTCTCATTAAGTTGCCTGGGCTGGCCTTGGACTTAGATCTTCCTACCTCAGTTTTCCAAGTAGCTGGGTTACAGATGTATGCCACCACACCCAGCTAGTCCTTTTTAACAGGAGTGTTTGTGTTACTTCAAGGTATGAAAGTTGAGGCCTATCAGCACTTAATTTAGTAGAAGCAGTTTTAGGAGACCCAAGCTGGAAAGAGTTGGGTTTTGGAAATTTTTGGTGTTTTAAAATCAATGAGTGTTCTCAAGAGATGCTGAGACAAAAGACAAAAACAAAACAAAACAAAACAAAAGCAATGAGTATTAAATGTATAGCACAGAGTAGTAAGCATTTGTAAGTGTGCACGTGTTTGGCATCAGCTCTTGGTAACAAGTGTCACACTTCTGTTGGTTTTAAGAAGTGTTTTTAAAGATTTGTTGATTGAGATGCTGAGGCAACTGAGCATTACATTGTGTGTGTGTTGCTAAGGATTGATTCCTGGGCCTCTAGCATGGTAGATAAGCAATCTACTACTGAACTATGTAGCTCTACCTCTGGAGAATCCTGGACAGGTAGATTAGATTTTTAGTCTTTCAGTTCAAGATTGCAATTGTCTTTTCTAGCTACTTGATATTTCCTTCATATCTCTATAAAAGAGGCTTTTATTAATTTTAGACTTAATCCAGGAAGACCTTTCACTGAGAAAGAACCTGTTTGGTATTAAAAGAACTAGACAGAAGCTTGTCTTGCCCAACATCCCTTTCTTAGCCCTTCTCAACCGCATCCCCCCCACCGTGTTGACATGGCCTCATTCTTTTCTATTACTTGTCCTCAACTCCATCATGCACATACTTTTATATAAGTGCACATACATACATACATATTAGGAGGAGGCGTACAGATGTTAATAATGTATGTCCTCATGGTGAGGAATGAAGTTTTTTTAATTTAACTTCTGATTTTAGCAAATGTATTCTTACTAATACCTTGGCAGCAGAAGTTGGCTTGATCAATTGGATCAAGGTGACTGTTGTAAAATAAACAAAAGGAAACAGCACAATGTTGAATTTGTAGGCAACATGTGAGACTAAGCAAATGCGACTTTTGCAGGTGGTTTGGCCATTAGCTGTGAGCATGCTCAGAATGCATTTAGGCAAGCGGACAGGATGTTCTAAAGTACTGTGTAACCTTGAAACATTACTTCTACTTCTGTTTCCAGAAATGAAATCTAAAACAGAAAAGCTGTTTGCCTTCCTCTTCACTTGAAGAACAAAAGTAGAACTTGTAAATCTGAACTAGTTATTACAAAGTGCTAGAATGAATGTCTTTAGTTCTGGATTTGGTTCTTTAATGCAGATTTTTAAAAAAATTTAGTTAGACCTTTACTACAGACAAAAAATATTTTTTTTAAAGTGGGAAAATAACACAACTACTCACTTGCACATATTCTATTTTAAATAGCTCAGAAATGTAAAGCAAATTTAAAGTCTATAGAGACAGTCTTGATTTTTTGATATCCCTTGAATTGAGTGTGTTTAACGCCAGAGGACTTCTATGTTAAGCCAGTTATAAAGCCAAAAACTGCATTCATGGTATTAGAGTCCTGGAATGAGTGTAATTATCCACCTATGAAAAACTGAAATCATTTGAAGAAAAATTTACAGATACAGGAATATGAGCCATCTGAAAGTTTAAAATGCATCTGAAAGATCTTCTGAGAGTCATAGGGTTTTGTTTGTTTTACGTTTTTTTGTTGTTGTTGTTGTTGTTGTTTTGTTTTGTTTTTTGGAGATGGAGTCTTACCATATTGTCCAGGCTGGCCTCAAACTCATGGTGATCCTCCTGCCTCAGCCTCTTGAGTACTGGGATTACAGACATGCACCACCATGCCTGCCTATGGATTTTTTTCTTGTCTTGCTTTTAATAATTAAATTTGAGAGGTAGGTATGGTGGTGCATGCCTATAATTGTAGCATTCAGGAGGCTGAGACAGGAGGATGGCAAGCTAGGTCAGCCTGGGCTGCCTAGAGACTGTCTCAAAAAAAAAAAAAAAAAAAAAGGAAAAAATAATTGAAATTGATGTGAAAAACATTTTAGGTGGATAGATTTAGGAGGCTGGTAAAGGCAAAAAACATTGATCAATTGATTGATGGAGTTTTGAGACAGGGTCTCCCTGTGTACCTCAGGCTAGCCTCAAACTGACTATGTAGTTCAGGTTGGCCTTGAACTTGTGGTAATCAGCCTGCATGAGTTAGTCTCCCAAGTGCTAGGATTACAGACATGTACTGTGCCTGACTTAAGTTTTAATTATAGATTGTCTTTGCATCTTCTTTGGCTTGTTTACATATCCTGAATTAATGCTTGAAAGAATGATCTGTGGAATTCAGCAGTTTAATTGCTTTTAAGATGGGAGTGGATCTCAAAGGCAACTGCATACTGGGATGGTGGGAACATTTTTTGCAAGACAGGCGTAATTAGGGTCTGCACTGTATAAGCAAGCCTGTTTGCTTGTGCTTTGGCCACACCTGTAGACAGGCTGTTTTACAAAGAGTTGTCTGCTAAATGGATGCCTTTCTGTCTCAGTGTTTCTTCCTGGTACTCTGAAAACTGTGGGGATGAGGTGGGGGGAATAGGGTGTTCTGTTCTGGAGGTTAAAGATGTTGTTTGCCTGAACGCTCCAGTTGCATTATTTAGTATGTATTTTAAAAATTGAAGCAGCAAATGAAGCACCCTTCTCACCATTTAACAAGAGCCAAAGTAGTGGCTCTCATCTCTGGAAGTGTGCTTCTAGCACTCCTTCAAAGCCATGTAAATTGCTCTCACAGTCTCAGAGAAAGATAGGGTTCCCCTAAAAACCAAAGTCTAGAGGGGTTGGAAATTGTCATTTGTATATGGCTTAAACTGATAAAATACTTCTTAAACTGCCTCCTCTGAGCCAGATAGTAATAACGTTATTGATAGAAGTAACAACTGACATGGAGTGCATACCATGCTGAGCACTGCTTTCTTTTTTCTGTCTGACTGTCCTTTTCTCTCTCTCTCTTTTTTTGTACTCGTGATTGAATTCATGCTTGCCAGGCAGGCGCTGATGCCATTGAGCTAAATCCGCAGCTCCTTTTTTGTCTTTCTCATTTTTTATCGGTACCAGGGATCGAACTCACGACCGCACACTTCCAAGGCAGGCACTTATACCGCTGAGCTAAATCCCCAGCCCCCCTTTTTTGTCTTTTTGAGACAGGATCTTGCCATGTAGTTCAAGCTGGCCTTGAACTCAGTTTGTAGCCCAGGCTAGTCTTGAACTGGTAACGATCTTCCTGCCTCAGACTCCCAAGTGCTGGAATTTACAAGCATGAGCCACCACACCTGGCTTTTTCTTTCATTCTTTTGTTGTTCTTCCATTTTTCATTTTTGTGTCAGGAATCAAATTCATAACCTTTCATTGCCAGGCAGACACTATGCCACTAGGCCTGGCCCTGGCCTTGCTTTTTTTTTTTTTTTTAAGCATGTTAGATGTCTTCCCAAGTGATAATAGATACTATTTTCATTGCTTTACAGATGAGAAATCTGAGTGTTGGGATCCAGTCCTATGTCAATTAAATTGTAGAGCTAAAAAATAAACTCAGAATGTTAGATTCAGGAGCTTTGATGCTGAACAACTGGTTGGTCATTCCCCTGACTGGGTGATAAGCAAAGTGACCATATTTCATCCAAGGAGTGGGCTCAGAGAAAATAAATTACTGTCATAAGTTGAAGCCAGAGTCAGTTTGAAGTGAGAGTTTATTCTTTCTTCACTGTTATTATATGACCCATTAGAGTACAATACTATAAAATCTGATTTATAGAGGTCTTTTTATATCTTGTGTGGGCTTCCATGCATTTAGGGGAGGGAGTTGCTTATAACTTGATTTGTGAGGTGATGTTTTGCTCTCAGAGATGTCATGTACCTTGTGCTGATTTTGTTAGCCAACCTGATGGTGCAGTTGATGGCTTTATAGCAATCTGGGTTGTAAGACTTGCACTGAGCTCCAGAGGAGAAAGAGGCGGGGATCTGAGTTCTTGTTTTTAGAATCTGTTCTTAGAGATGTTACCTTCCTTTGAGTAGGTAACCTTATGGGATTATAGTTAATTAATTGCAGAGCCTCTGAAGTCAGACCTCCTTCTACCACCCATTCCGTTGAGGATTTGAGGTAAGGCCCTTAACCTTTCTAAGTCTTAATTTCCCCATCTGTACAGATGTCTTTTGGGTTATTGTGGAACTTGCATGAGACAAACTTGACATTAAGTGCTCCTGAGTGTGTTTGGGAGACTGGTTGATGTGCAGGAGACTGTGGTGACTAGTTTTCTTCTGTGTGTTCGCTTGTAAACAGTTTTCACAGAGATGAATGCTTTCTCAATTGGACTTCAGCATAATACTCTGAAATGGATATTTGGGATTCTCTTTATTTTGTAATGACATATTACTAAGTAAATTTTCATGTGTATTATTAAATTTGTAACATTTTATGTAAATTTTATTACCTTACCTTTAATTGGAAATATACTTCATGTTTTGGAAGAAAATTATTTTAATACATTCATGATGGGGCTGTAACTCATGTATCTCACTGCCAGGTGTTGAGCCACCAGTGATACATGCATGATTGTCCCCTCGGGTAACTTTTTATTAGTAAAGAGACCATAAAAGTTTTAGATCTGTTTTACCACCAGTGGCATAAGGCACCTGAGAGAGTCAGGCAGGAAATGCAGCTAGTTTGAACTAGGAAAGCGTATTCCAATAATAGACCCATTACCATAATAGAATGAATGTTAGAATTTTTTGTACATTATCATGATAAGTTGGTGTTAGGCCCAGGCAAACCACATAATAGCTAGAAATCTTGATTGAGAGACACAGTGATTTCTATCTTATTCATGGGCATGTGTTATTTATTGAAACTAGTAAAACATTAAGTTCTTACAACTTATGCTTTTCTTGATAACTCTACTGATAAAATTATGTCCTTATTTTCAGTTTGAAGAAAATGTCAAGAAGCTCTTCATTTAGTACCATATTCAGGCTAGACTTTGTATAGGAATAACACATGGTGTGCTGGTGAATAATGAGCAACTTTCCTGAAATGAATAATCATCTCTGATTTGTAGCATTTGCTGATTTCAGGGATAATAAATACTCCACTATGGCTGGTTTCAGTGTACCAATGTTAATGTCATTGAACTTGAAGTTGGGAATATACATATAATCAGTTGGCTTGAATTAACCTCAGCTCTCAAGTGTTCAGGATATGTTCAGGATTTTATGCTCACTCGCTGTCTTTCTGTCTGTCTGTCTTTTGATGCAGTCTTGCTTTATTGCCCAGACTGGCCTCCAGTTTGTAATCCGTCAGCCTGAGTAGCTAGAAATACAAAGTATGCCGTTTTGTCTGGCACAAGCCTATATCTTAATAATAATTAGCTTTCTTTAGTCCTTTTTTTAAAAAAGTTGATCTTAATGAAGTACAATTTACATACAACAAAATTAAGCAATTTTGAGCATATACATTTAATGGCTTTTGACAAGTGTATGCCCTACCTCAATCATGGTACTCATCATTCCTGTTTTTTTTTTTTTTTTGTCTTTTTCCTTTTTTATCGGTACCAGGGATCGAACTCACGACTACCTGCTTGCAAGGCAGGCGCTTATGCCACTGAGCTAAATCCCCAGCCCCTTCATCATTCCTTCTGTGTATAGTTGCCAGATTAACATTTCTCAAATTTTACTTTATAGTCACATACCTATGCATAAAACCTTCACTGGCAATATGCTGACCATAAGACAAGGTACAGAACTCTAGGGCTGTGGATACAGCTTAGTGGCATGAGTGCCTACTTGGCAAACAAAAGGTCCTGAGTTCAGTTTCCAGTACCAAAAAAAAAGCCTCTGTCACCTGGGCTGCTTAACATACCACTTCTTCTCTGACCTAATCTACCTCAGTCTGTGCACATAAATTTCTTATCCCAGTAAGATGAATCATCTGGGTCCAGTGCAGGGTGGCCTGTTCCTCTAATCCTAGCTATTTGGGATCACAGGCCAAATTGGAGGCCAGCCTAGGCAATTTTAGTTAGACCTCATCTCAAAATAAAAAGGACTGGGGGTATAGCTCAGTGGTAGAATGCTTTGCTTGGTATGTGTAAAGCCCTGGTTTTAATCTGCAGTTCTTCAATGATAAAACAAAAACTGATCAGGTGGTTCCAAGGACAAGCCCTGCATTTGTTTTTTGGTTTGTCTGTACCTTTCCTGCAGTATTCCGGACACCTCCTGTTCTTTATTTTTTCTTATTCTGGGTCACGCTCACACTTAGTTTTCTAGTTTTTCATTAGGATGAGTACTTTCTAATCTGACCACTCATACTGCTTATTTGTCACTAAATTTTTCAGTTTGTATTGAAATCTCAGGGTTCTATCCATATGATCTTTGCCAACAAAGTTGTAAGCTATAGTAGGATAGGTAATAATGTTGTATAACTCAGGTTTACAATAAATAGTTCTTGATGGAAGTAAACCATTAAGCAACTCTTCAATCTCAGCGAGTTACAAACTCTGATCCTGAGAGACTCCTACTATGCTATACACATAGACCTCTCAAAGCCTGAAGATGTATCTATTACAGATTATAAATGTGTTGTAATGTTTCTCCAAGCCAGTGTTAGTCATTAAAATGAACATTACAGATTTCTTCTCTGCCCTGAAAAGCCGTTTAGAAATGGTTAGCATATGGATTGTGGACTTTTGTGAGAATCAAACATTTAAAGTAAAGTTTTAAAAGAAAACTCAAAAAAACTCAAGCTTTTTTGTATGTTTTGATGTACTGGTAAGAAGTCAGGAAGGGGGTTCTAGTTGGTTTCCTTCCTGTCCCAGGAAACCATAATATTCTGAAAAATTTTTGCATGTGTGCTTGTATGTGTATGTGTGTGTGTTTCAGTAACCTTATGCAAACTCTTCCATTTCATCTTTTTTTTTTTTTTGATGGGGTACCAGGAATTGAGTTTAGGACCTCATGCTTGCCAAGCAGGTGCTGCACTACTGAACTAAATCTCTGGCCCTTTTCATTTTAAAATTTGTATTTGCACCGTATATAATGATGCATATCTTTAATTCCAGCAGTCAGGAGACTGAGGCAGGTGGATCACTACTAGAGGCCACCCTGGGCTACAAAGTGAATTCAAAGCCAGCCTGAAGTGCATAGTAAAACCCTATGTCAAAAAGACAAAACCAAAACCCAAAAACAAAACAAAAAGCTTTTATTTTCTCTGTTTAAAAAAAAAAGTTGGCAGGGTACTTACTGAAAATTGGCATTGGTAATCTAAAAATCCTTAATAAATTCTAGATATTTATCTCTATTTCTCAGCCTACCTTCAGGTTCCTCTTTTTATCTTTTAATTCTCGGGTGTACAAAGGGTTCTTCAGTTGACCCTTATCTCTTGTGGTTGACATACTTTGCTTGAGCAGTTTCATCTGGTGTACCCACGCATTTGTTTCCACACTTGAAATTCCATGTGTCTTGAGTTCCACTCTTGGATGATCAAATGCCTACTGGAAATCTTCACTTAGCTGCTCTTCAGAAATCAGATGTAACATATCCTAAGTGTGATATCTCTCTGTATTATTATTCACTTGTCAAATACTATCGCTGACTTGTCTCACTGTTCTCTCCCTTTGTGTCTGTCAGGTCCTCAGACATTTTTAAGTCCTTTTCCCTCCCTGTGAGTTCAGGCTAACTTTGTCCTTTGTTATCCTTATCGCTTGCCCACCCTGGTATTTAAAACATGAACTAAGAGCTAGTTTACTTCCCTGACCTTAGATTAACTATGCCCATAAATCTCTATGGTGACTGGAAAGCCATTATAATTATTGGTGATTTGAGGGCCACTGTGTTCTTTTCCTGTGGGTGAACATAGCTAGGAATCTGTACCATAACTAGATGGTTGTTTGGGAAGGAACCAGAGCAGAAGCAATGAGATGAAGCAAGTGTATACTGGCCTCACATAGTCTGACTGATGCTGTAATCTCATTGTGATCAGCAGACTCCTGTCTAACAGAGGCATCCCCTCCCCACAATGACATCAGCCGTCCCTGCCAGCCTCTTTAATTCTTCTGTGGTTGAGTTGACCTTTTGTGTTACTTTACATGTACTAAATACATTCAGTGAAGCTGTACTTGAATCTTACTTTCTGACAACTTCTCTGTCGGATGGTTTATATTCTTCTCTCCTGAGTTGTCGTGTGTTGCTCTCCAGTTGAGCACTGAGAAGCTGTCTTATTTCACGTGTTAAGAGAATACTTTACTATCGGTGCCATGTAAAGGAAGGAAGCCAATTTCCCTGGTATCACTACCTTTTCTTGTTTACCCACTATTCTGAGTTAGGGATAGGAATACCTTCATAATGCCTCCCTGACACTTCTGAGTGATCATTCTCACTGTTTTGGGGGGGCGTTGTTTTGGAGACAAGGTCTCACTGTATAGTCCAGGCTGGCCTTAAACTCACTATGTATCCTAGGTTGGGCTTGAACTCATGGTGGTCCTCTTGCCCCAGTCACCTGAGCGCAGGGATTATAGGTATGCACCATCATGGCCTGCCATTTGTTTTTTTGTTGAGCACCCACTATAGGCCAGAGACTGGGCTGAGTGTCAGGAGGAGAATACAGAAGCTAGTTGTTTCTTCCACTTGGAACTTGAATTTTGTTGGAGGTGAGAATGTAAACAGATAAATACCGCTTATGGCTGTGGATGGTAGAGCCATCTATAATCCCAGAACTCAGGAAGCTAAAGCAGTAGGATTGCCATTAGTTTGAGACCAGCCTGGCTATGTAGCAAGATCCTGTCTCAAAAACAAAAAACAAGGCCGGGGCTTTAGCTCAGTGAAGTAAACACCTGCGTGGCAAGCGCAAGGTCATGAGTTCGATCCCTGGTACCCCCCCCCCCAATTTTATTTTTTATTTTTTTTGCTTGTGGCAAGACCAGGAGCAGACAGGCTGGTGGTAGAATAACTGAGGATATATAAATATAGATGTAATTTTAAAAATTGGGAGAGTGTATTTAAATATGTACTTTTAAGTGATCAGAATGATATAAGGAAGTGGCATTTAAGACACACCATAAAGAGCAGGAAGAAGTAAGCTATCTGTAGAAACAGAGAAGTGAGCCTAGTCAGAAGAAAGCCTGCAGAGGCTCTGAGGAGATAGATAGCTTGCTGTGTTTCAGGCAGTGAAAGATTACCAGTGAAGCTGGGAAGGCAGAAAAGGAGAATGTGTCATATTGTGTCAGTGATATTGTTGGCCTAGTGAGTGAGATTAGTGATACAATGATTCACACAGATTAAGATTTCTTTGGATCTAGTGCTTGAAGGATTTGTGGGGGCTTTTTGTTTGTTTGGTGATGGTTGGGAATCAAGCACTCTGTTCCTGAGCTATATCCTCAGCCACTAAACTGGGATTCTAAACGTTCACTTTACATATTCTTTTCTGGAACATTAATACAAATGATGATGGAAAATCTAGAATTCCTTCTTGTGTGAAGTATATCATAAAATTTCAGACACTTCTCAGGGAGAGAAATGTCTCCTTTTGGTGAATTTCTATCCCTAATGAATCTATAATATAGCCATATTTTTATATTATGTTGAGGATTTTTACATAGTCTGATTGGCCGTTGTTAAACTTAGTTGGTCTGTTTTAATGCACAACGGTTAAGATAAGCACTACTAATTTAATACCACATACTCATCTGAAAATCAGTTCAGGATAAGCACTGAGTCATTTCATGCATAAGTACGGTATTGGATTTGTTGTTTCAGAGTGTTATTTCAAGTCCTGTCAGTACAAGGATTCTCTCCTTTCCAGCTTTCATGCTCACTCTTATCTTTCATGCATCAGATTATTTGTGTACTACTGGGACTAAGGGAATCGGAAGACAGAACCACATTTGAGAACCATTCACTAACAGTGATCTTGGAAAGTGCTGTAACCTGGCATTTTCTTAATCTTTTTGTGTTTCTGTGGAGGAGGGTATTGGAGATAAAATCCAGGACCTTACCATACTAGACAAGCATTGTATCCATTGAGTTCTATTACCCCTCCCTCCGTTATTTTGGACAATGTGATCATTCCCAATTTTGTCAGTGGGCCGAGAGAAGAGAAAGTGAGGCTTAGAGAATATTTCACTTGTCCGGGGCTGGTGCTTACCAGACTTTGATGTGTATGTGACCAATGGGAGAGCTTGGTAGAATGAAGATTCTGATTGAATTAGTCTGCAGCTAGTTTCTGGATTACTAACAAGGATCAGTCTCCGCCTTCACCTAAGGTAGACATATGAAATGATAGAACTGGGCTTCAAACTTAAATTTGCTCTATTCCAGAGCCTTCACCCTATCCTGTGGAATCTCCTTGCACTCAACTAGTGGAACAGGCTTTTTGTGGAGTGATCTAGTTAATACTTTTTTTAGTATAGTAAGAGTGTGAAGTTTTATTTATTTGTTCAGCATTTACTTGGAACTTTTTGTGTTCTCACCCCCCCTCCCCCATCTGAAATCAAACCCAAGGCCTTGCCCATGCTAGGTAAATGCTTTACCACCAAGGTACACCCTCAGCTCTCAGTTAATTCTTGACCCCCATATTTGGAATTGATGCCAGAGCCTTTACATTGAGCAACATCCTCACCTTGTTTTTAAATTTAGCTTTTAGTTTTTATTTTGAGACAGGTTTTTGCTGAGCTGCCAAGGCTGGGCTTGAAATTGGGATCCTTCTGTCCTAGCCTACTAGACTGCTGGGATTAGAGGTGTGCACTGCTGTGCTTGACTGGAGTAACAATTTGAGTTAAGAATGGGTGCACCAGCAGGAAATTTGGGTTACATGCTCTTTGGGAACAAGTTACAGATTTATAACTCCCTCATTAGTAGTTGCTACCATTAATATATCAGCTACCTAAGTATATTAAAGGTTAAAAATTACTTTGTGCTGAATACTTCTCAAGATAGAAGAGATGTAATTGTAGCTTTGTAGTTTAGAAGCTAATGTTGGTAAGACTAATAAATGTGCCTTGTTTAAATCTGAGGATCCTGTTCGTGAAGTAATGATGCTAATCGTGAACACTGAGTCACCTTGCTCAACCCTGAGATACAGTTACTGCTGCTCCCTTTGTACACTGAGGATATTAAGACACAAAGAAGCCAAACGACTTGCCCAAGTAAATGATTAAGGGTGAGATTCAAACTCATAAATTCGTTCTCTGATCATTAGGATTTAGGACTTAACATATTGTGAGGTCTTGATTCTTGCAGGGGGAGGAGTACTTTTAGGGAAGGGAGTTCAGAAGCTGGATGACTATGAGACTGAGTACCACATATGTAGGCAGTTAGGTGTTGTGAGTTGCTATTTTCTGTCATTCTTCAACATGTGGTTATTTAGTACTGGATTTTACAGTCTGGATAATGCTGCTGTTGATTATATTGCTTCTGTTCTTTTAAACTGTTGTTACTGGTTCCTTTTCAGCAGCAAAATGAATTCTTAATTGTATTTGGGAGACTGCAGTCAGATATTTACCCTTGGGTGACTTCTGTTAACTAGTATATTCATGGATCAATCTCCTTTGCCATCCAGCCCGTGAATACTGTTTATTTGTTTGTTTGTTTTAATGACAGGTGGTCTTGCTATGTTGTATTGGCTGGTCTTGAAATAATGTGTTCAGGCAATCTTCCTGCTTCAGCCTCCTTAGTAACTGGGACTATAGGCTTATGCCAATACACCAGAGAATATCTGTGTTGGTATGTTTGTGACAGGGTCTCGATATGTAGTTCAGGCTGGCCTTAAACTTATACTGATCATCTGGTGCCTCAGCTTCCCAATTGCAGGGATTACAGGTTGTGCCACCACCCCAGCAATGTTTTTGAAGGATTTAGACACATGCAGTTCTTTTGTGAGAAAACTGATTTTATTTGCTATAATAGGAAAAGTAGTTAGGACTAAGGAGCTATTTTAAAATATAATATACATCTGAGAGATACACTCATCTCACATCTTATTTGTGGCATAGATTTAGAAATAGAAATACTTTTCATTGTTGAGATACAGATAAGACATTTTTGTCATTTTATAACATGATGCCATGTCAAACTAATTATTGTTTTTAGCTTTTTCTGCATAAAATCTGGAGACAACCTACTTCAGTGAGATCTGATTGGCCGGTTATGTCTTTGAGAGTGTTAACGAAAGGTGCTTCATCTCTCTGTGATTTTGAACATGGCCCCTGGCCACATGCAGGGTTTGTATTAGAGAAAAAGGACAGTGAGTAGAGTAGATTCTTGCGAAATGAATTACCTGTTGTTTTCCCCTTAGGTGACTTCATCAGTATTGGAATTGCATTGGCAAACAGTTTGAAAAAGAGCACTGGGCAATTTGAGGTGCACATGGCAGTGAGGCGAGTGGATAGTGTTTCAAGTTTGACTTTGTTTCACTTGAGAAGCTTTAATTACCAATGTTGGTGAAAGCATGAGGAAACAGGTCTGCTTATGTGATGGTAGTTGAAAAGTAACCGGATGGAGATACCCTTTTTGGGGACACTTAGGCTCTGTCTACTAAAATTAGGTAACATCTCTTTGGGTCTGAAGTTTTACTCCTATCCAGGCATGGGGTTGTGGCCTCTAATTCTAGTGAGTTGGGTGAGGCAGGAGGCTTACAAGTTTGAGCCTATCCTGGACAATTTAGGGAGACTTTGTCTCAAAATAAAAAGGACTAGGGGATATAGGTTAGTGGTAGGGTACCCTTGAGTTTGACTTCAGCACTGCAAATAACCCTATTCCACTTGTAGAAATTGCAAACAGATGAAGAAAAATACCCGTATACTGTGTGACATTGTGATGGGGTAGGGTAGCTACACAGTTGACAATTGTCACTAATGCATGCTTAGTTTTTTTTTTTTTCCTGCAGTTTCTATTTAAATGCATGCTTAGTTAAATTATGGTAATTCATTATTATGCAGACATTAAGAGGAGGCTTAAATCTTTATGTACTCATAAAAAATATCCTTCATATATTGCACAGACAAAGACATATGGGAAACAGTACACAACTGTGTGTGATGTGGTGCCATGAAGATGTGTAAAATTCCTTAGCAGTTGGAGTGTCGGGCAGTGGGAGTGCAGGGACTATAGGATTAGGTGATAGGAAGGCTGCTTTAAACTCCACTTACTTTAAAATACAGTAAGAAAAGGCCCAAAGCTCAATCTTTGTGTTGGAAGGCATTTTCCTGCATTTTTTAAAGGGGACCCTCTTCTGTACTCTTGCCTCTTGATTGCATGCCAGTGTATCTCAATCTTTGTCTGCAAAGGACTCTGTCACTTCTGCTTGTCCCCAGGATGTAAAGATGAGAGCGAAACCCAGTAGTTTTGTTATCTTTTCAGTGCCTTCCTGCTTTCCTTCCATCCACATTTTCATTTGTCTAGGTTTATTTTCTCCCTTTTGTTAAAAACTTGGATTTTTTTGGGGTATTATTCAATTATTTAGGAAGCACTCATTGTGAGAAGTGTGGTTTTTAATTTCCTTCCTGTATCTCGTAGCAATCCAGCTTTTCTTTTCTTTTTTTTTTTTTTTTTTTGTCTTTTTGCTTTTTATCGGTACGGGGATCGAACTCATGACTGCCTGCTTGCAAGGTAGGCGCTTATGCCACTGAGCTAAATCCCCAGCCCACATTTTCTTAATATTTGTATATAGGTAATCTTGGAGCTTCTGTTTAATTTAAATTATTAGGTTAATATCTATAAAACTTATCATTTCCATGTCTTATAATTGTACCTACCAGCCTGCATCTTACTTTGTGTTAATCATTTCTGCTGGTCTTCAACTAGCAGTCCTTGTAGCAGGGCAAACTAGCTCCTCCCTGTTCTCTATCACCTGTTCCTTGTATGAGGTGGTAAATAGATCTGACACACTTGAGGTTGAATCACATTGCAACCTTTCACTTCACTGCTCAACTTTGCAGGGTTTTCTGCTTATTTTCTTTTGTTACTTGATTTTATTGTTTGTTTGTTGGTATGTATGTATGTATGTATGTATGTATGTATGTATTTTGAGACAGGGTCTCACTATATAGTTAAGGCTGGCCTTAAACTCACTGTGTAATCCAGGTTCTCCTCAAACTTGCAGTGATTCTTCTGTCTTAGCCTCCCAAGTGGTGGAATCACAATATGCACCACCATGTATAATATTTTATTTTATTTTTGGTACCAGGGATCGAACTCGTGACCTAGTGCTTGCTAGGCAGGCACTAATGCCGCTGAACTAAATCCCCAGCCCCATGTATAATGTTTTAGCCACTTAATATTTGATACCCACTGTCTCTAATGAACATGGAGTAGTAAAGGGATCTGCAGGTTTTGATCATTTATGTTCTGGAAAAGAACAGGAAGTGATGAGGCCTTGTGATTAGAGCTTTAGGGCAGTGTTTTCTAACTTGTCTATAGGGACAAGATAGTTAACTTGTCTCTACTAATTGTATGTGTGCTGTTTCTTTTTCCTCTGAACTTGTAGGCTTTTATTTTTTAGGTTTAAAGACCTTGCTTTAAGAAATTTTCCTTGAGATTATTTAAGTCATGAAATTAAGATGGAACTTCTTTCTGATCTCTAGAGACCCAACCTAGTAATTAACCAGGATAGGGAAGGAAAGGAAGAAGATCCACAGAGTTACGGGCTTGTCTCTTCCAGTAAATAGCTCCAACACTTCATGGTATGTTAAATGTTCTATAAGATGAAGGGGTTGGCAGCATATGTAAGATGTCTTTGTTCATTTTCTGTGATTCATTGTTCAAACTTTGGTAATCTTTTATCTGCTAAATGAGTACCAATGCTTATCTTTATTTTTAACTACTGTTTTGCAGATGTAGGGTACTATATATGTCACTGTGGAGGGAAATATTTTCTGAAGATCACTGCTTATTATGAATGATTTAAAAGGATTTTCAAACACTTAGTTTCATTCTATTTTCATTGGTAGAATTGAAATTGCAGTATACTCCTTAAGTGTTAGCGTAAAAACCTTCCTATTCTTGTTCCTAAGACTATTGTGATTTACAGACTGCTAGTTGGTAAAAGGGGGAAAAAAAGAAGTTATGTTTTTAAAGATTTTTCAGGGCAGACATGGTGATGCATGCTGGTAATCCCAGCACTCGGGCGGCTGAGGCAGAAGGATCATTGCAAGTTTTAAGACCAGCCTGTGCTACAAAGTGAGCTCAAGGCCAACCTGAACTGTGTAATGAGACCCTGTCTCAAAAAGGCGGGGTGGGGTGGGTTTTTTAGGGGACAAGAACATTGAAAATACAAATACCAAATATACTAGATAAATATTCTATCAAGCAGTATTATAATACTATTGTGAAGCTGCTTCATGATGAGCTTTGTCCATTAGCACTATGGCCGATACATCAGAGAAGCATACAACTATCAAGTAGGATATTTTAAAATGGATATTTCCATAAGGGTTTTGCAGAGGGCTACCCATTTATTTGCTGATTTCTGTAGCATTTATGGTGAAATCATGTTTATATATTGTCTGTGAACTGGAAGTTTTCAAGCTTAGTTGCTGTTGTCATCCTTATGAGTGGAATGTTTGTTTTTCTTCTCTTCTGTCTTAAAGTCGTGTGGTTAGGTAGATTGTACTTTGGAGTAACAGACTTCCCTCTTCTCTGCTGCTCAGGTGTTTTTTTTTTTTTTTTATCCTTTTAGGACACTTTTTTTTCCTCTCTTTATTACAACAAAATTTATACATTTTGGGTTTTATTGCTCCCATAGATCTTATTACTTTTTTTGTAAGAGAATAAAATCAAACATGATAAAACAAACCTGTCAGTCAAAACCAAGGGTAGACATAGCACATGATGTAAAAACAGAGTACAAAGTTATCAACAGTGGTTACCATAATGCCTCTTGCTTCCTTAAGAAGAATTGTCTATCTCATTAGGTATTATAAAGTTGAACAAAACAGTAGAAAACAAGTCTAATAAAACCTAAACATTGTCAACCTTACAGAACTTCAAAAGAGGATAATGTCAAACCAGAATCGGCATCAAGTGAATCTTACTGCCTTCAAAGTAGTTGCCTATACTCTGATACTTAATACTATCATACAGAGCAGAACAGAGTCTAATCAGTCAAAACAAGATAGTGGGAGTATTACAGGACTTCAAATCATGTTAATAGGAAATCAAAAAAGTTACTATATCAGGTGGTTTTATTTACCTCTACACTAAAGATTCACAAATCTGGATTTCTGCTAGTGTCTCCCTTTCTTTCAGTAGCTGCTATCTGACAGGCAACAGAGGCTGCATGACAATTCTGGCAACATGTCACGTGGAACATGTGCACAATATAGCAGATGCAGAGCTCATTATTCTGGGGCTGGGGATTTAGCTCAGTGGCATAAGCGCCTGCCTTGCAAGCAGGCAGTCGTGAGTTCGATCTCTGGTACCGATAAAAAGGAAAAGGAAAAAGACAAAAAAAAAAAAAAAAAAAAGAGTTAATTATTCTGCCTCCAGGTATAAATAATCAGTAAAGATTTGTGTTGTCTAAGAAAGGTTTTTGTCGATGTTCTCTTTTTGCTGTACTAGGGATTGACCCCAGAGAGTGCTAAGCTACATCCCCAGCTCTTTTTACTTATTTTGGGAAAAGGTCTTATTAAGTTGCCTAGGCTGGTCTTGAATTTGGAAACCTTCTGCCTCAATATCCTATGTAGCAAGCTGGGCATGGTGGCACACTCCTGTAATCCCAGTACTTGGGAGGCTGAGGCAGGAGGACTGATGGAAGTTTGAGACTAGCCTGGGCTACAAAGTGAGCCCAGGGCTAGCAAGAAAAACAAGAACAAAAAAACCGCACAAGTTTCAATGAAGTACCAGATGTCCTGTCATAAAAGTTTTTCTAAATACTTCTATTAGATCATTTGTTTAGAATTTCATCGTGAACTTGTTAATGTTTCATGTCTTGAGATTCTTGCAGGTCTTTTCTTTTAGGGGGTCTATTCTGTACAGAGTTTAGTTGTATTCTGAGTTTTCAAATTTTAAACCATAGGCCTGACTATCTACCACTTTTGGGGTTTTTGATAGTGAAAACCATGCTGATAACCTTGTGCTTGTGAGGCAGGTACTGTGCTGCTGAGCTATAACACCAGCCTGTTTACTTCTTTGACAGTGAGTATAAGCTTTCCACAGAAGCAAGGTAGAGTCAAATATGTACAACCTTCTTTTCTACAATATTTTACAAAGCCAGGCGTGGTGGCACATGCCTGTATTCCCAGCAGTTGGAAGGCTGAGGCAGGAGGATTGCTGTGAGTTTGAGGTCAGCGTCAACTATATAGCAAGACCCTGTCTCAAAAAAACCCCAAAAATAAATAAATAAATAAAAATTAAAAAAAAAATTAAGGGCAAATCCCACATATCTATCTTTTGCTATATATATATGTATGTGTATGTATATATGTGTGTGTGTATATATATATGCATATATATTATGGCTCTCTTAAAATATGAATGCTTTATTAATAGTAATATTATTATCATACTTAAGAAAAATAAATAGTTATTTGGGAAGACAATAGACTATGGATCCAACCCAGAGACTTGTACATGCAAGGCAAATGCTCTGCAACCTGACTTTGTCCCTTAGCTGGAGGTGATTTTTTTTTTTTAAAGTGATACACTTTTAATAAACCAATGGTTTCTTTTGAATCCAGTTTTCTTTTGGTTGCCAAGATAACCAAATTGAGCAAAATGAGCTTTTCATTAATCTTTTACGAAGTATTTAAGAGTCAAATACTGGGCCAGAGATACAGCTCAGCAGCACAAGGACCTGCCTGGCAAGTACAAGGTCCTGAGTTTGTCAGTGCCAAAAAAAAAGTGAAATACTGCTTAGCATATACTGCTAATTTGTGTACATGCATTTATACAGTACATTTTCATTATAAGAAAAATGCACTATTGTCATAAAATAGTAAATAGTAAAGTATGATCCATGATCCTGACATGATGGGACACACCTATAATCCCGGCACACTTTGAAGGCCTTCGTGACCTAGACACACCCTGTTTCAAATGAAAGGGGGCTGAAGATATAGCTCAGTACAAAGGCCTGGGTTCAATCTCAGTGCCACAAAGAAAAAAAGTTTGTTATTAATAAGCTATTCATTTTTTTTTTCTTTTTGGTACTGAGGATTGAACTTAAGACTTCGTGCTTGCCAGGCAGGCACTTACACCACTGAGCTAAATCTCCAGTCCCAGCTATTCGTATTTTATCAGTAGCCTCATGAGTTATAAATAATTTTGAGGGATGTGTACTTTTTGGTACACAATCATATTTATGTTGATTTGTTGTTCCCTGTTTCCCTTTACTTTTCTATCCCTGTAATCTTGTCTGCAACTATGCCAAATCTGACTTGAACCAAATGATTTTATGAATCTACTTTTATTTTATCTTTTTGAAACAAGGGTCTCACTGTGCAGTTCAGGCTGATTTTGAACTGTCTTTGTAGTCTAGGCTGGCCTTAAATTTGCAAGAATCCTCCTGCCCCAGCCTCCTGAATGCTGGAATTATAGGTGTGTGCCACCGTGCCTGGCATAAATCTACTTTTTTTTTTGGTACTAGGGATTGAACTCATGACCTTGTGCTTGCCAGGCAGACGCTTATACTGCTGCGCCAAATCTCCAGCCCTAAAAAATATTTCTGTTAGCCTACTTAAAGCTTGAGGTTTTGTTTTTTTTTAATTCTTTAAAACTAATTTAGTGTGTGTACCATTCAAAGGCAGCATAACTGACTACATTTTTAGTTTTGTTAGAGCTTTTATATAGAAAAGTTCAAATAAAAATAGAATAGATAGTATAACCTCCATTTCTTTTTTTTTTATCTTTTTCCTTTTTATTGGTACTGGGGATTGAACTCACGACTGCCTGCTTGCAAGGCAGGCACTTATGCCGCTGAGTTAAATCCCCAGCCCCTTATAACCTCCATTTCAATCCTGTGGCACAGGATTGAAAAAGTTCATATTAAAAAGTTGTCAACCTAGCCCAGTGTGGTAGCATATGCCTAAAATCCTAACTACTTGGGATGCTGAGGCAGGAAAATTGCAAGTTTGAGGCTGGCTTAGGTAATTTAGTGAGACTTTGTTTCAAGATACACATTTTTTTTTTTTTTTTAAAGAGATTTGAAATGAAGCTCAGTGGTAGAATACTTACCTAGCGTGTGTTAATCCTCTGGATTCAATTCTCAGTACCACAAAAAATGAAAATAGAACTCAGGCTAATACCACTTTTTCTATATGTATTGCACCTCTATCCCAACTAGGTTAAATAGTGAAGGTTGCTTGGTTTCTTCAGCCCTCTGTGATTGACCTTAAGGAGAGTTGGAAACAGACTGATCTGAACCTAGCGAGAAAATAGCCATGTTCTCCATTCCAGGCCTTCCCAAGAAACAGGTCTGAAGGCTTCCCTCTTTTATAAAGTTGTTATCAGTAAGGTTAGGCCACAGCAGTATCCGTGTCTTGGGTCTGTGCCCTGTCATTTTCAATCCTGTGGCACAGGTTTAGCCCTTGGCTCCCTTTCTGGAAATTTCAAAACTATATAAAAATCATTTCTAAGCTAGCAATAGACACGTTTTGTCAAGAATATCAATTTTCTCTCGACAGTGTAACATTTGCATTTAAATATTAGATTGTGTAATCATAATTCAAGGAAAATAAAGTGGTGGCTGGCAGGCATTTTAAAAAGTGAAATGGAGGGGCTGGGAATTTAGCTCAGCGGCATAAGTGCCTGCCTTGCAAGCAGGCAGTCATGAATTCAATCCCCGGTACCAATAAAAAGGAAAAAGACCAAAAAAAAAGTGAAACGGACTTGGGTTCCTAGGAATGTTAATCATTATTCTGCTGAAAATAATAATCCTTGATAGTGAAATACTAAGTAGGAGTAAAACTAGTATTTTGTGAATAATGTAGTGATGAGTAAAATATGATTTATGAGTTTAATAAAAAGTTGTCAAGATAGCACCTGAAGAATTTTTATATTTCCAAACCTTGAAACTGTGAAAAATAACCAACTCTTTAGTGAATTAGTTTCAGTAGTCCATTAGTTACCAGGCCTAGCCAGCCCATCTCAGAAATAGATCATTAGTATTACTATTTTAGATAATTATTTTTGACATTTGTAATGGGCCTACTTACTGCCTTCCTTACCCTAGATGTGGTAGCTGAGGAAAGAAAGAAACTTCTGGCCTCTGTCCTAAGTACTCATGATAATAGCAGTCAAGAAATTTTATATGTTCTTTGTGGCAAGTCATTCATTCAGTAGTGATGGAATGACTTATTTTTAACACAGTGTTTTTCTTTTGACTAAACCTGACTTTTTCTTCTTTTTCAATCTAATTCAGTGTGTGTACTATTCCAAGATGGCATAAATTTAGCTTAGCCTCTCATTTACCAACCTGGTAGAAGTTTTAAAAGTTTTAGCTTTTCATATACAGTGGACTATATAAGAAGTCTATATTATTATACTGTGTACCTCAAGAGAAACTTTTTGTACTGTGACATGCCATATTACTAGAGATCATATGGAAGGAGGAAGTTTGATTTCTAATCTCATTTCAACATGATTTTAAAAAGGAGAATTATCTTTGTCAAGTATCTTTGTTAAGAATTATCTTTGTCAAGTGTAAGCATGGACTAAAATATACCATGGGATGAAAGAAACCCAGATTTATTGCATCTTTCAGGTAAAAGATAGGAAAGATCTTTAGATCTGCAGAGCTACATCAGGGTAACTTCCAGTCTTACATGATTATGTTGAATAGTTGCTTAGCCTAGAGTGACTGCCCTAGATCACAGCCCCTCAGGGAAAAATCTTTTTTCTTTTTTTTTTTTTTTTTTTTTTTTTTTGTCTTTTTCGTTTTTTACCGGTACTGGGAATCGAACTCACGACTGCCTGCTTGCAATGCAGGCACTTATGCCGCTGAGCTAAATCCCCAGCCCCCAAATTATTTTTGATACATAGAGAATACTGCTTCTATGAATTCTTTATATTTAGTTCTAAGACTTCCATTGTATTCATTTAATCCTTTGCCATCTTTTCCCCTATGACATTCTTTTGCTGACTTCTTGAGTTTATTTAATTTTGCTTATTGGCTAGATTATCTTTACCAGTTCAGCTGACTTCTGGATACTCTGAGTTAGACAGATAGACATATTGATGGATCTGTGGTTGGAGAGGGGACACTAGTAGTTACTAGTAAGCTGCCAAAATGTCATGCAATTCATTTAAACAGTTTCCTGTTGATAAAAATGTGAATTTTTTTTATTTTCATGTATATCAGGAACCCACACATACACAGAATGATGATGGAACGCAAATTTAAGGCCAGCCTAGACTACAAAGACAGTTCAAAATCAGCCTGAACTGCACAGTGAGACCCTTGTTTCAAAAAGATAAATAAAATAAAAGTAGATTTATAAAATCATTTGGTTCAAGTCAGAGATGACATAGTTGCAGACAAGGTTACAGGGATAGAAAAGTAAATCTACTTGACATTGAGCTACATCCCCGGCCCTTTAAAAAAAAATTTTTTTTTTTTAAATCTAGTTTTGAGTGAGGGTCATGCTAAGTTCTCCAGGATGGGCTCGTGATCTTGTGAACTTTTGATCTTCCTATGGAAGCAGAACGATTGCCTCAAGTTTTAGCCTAACCTGGGCTACATAGTTCAAGGCCAGCCTGTACTACAAAGTGAGACCCTGTCTCAAAAAACCAACAAAATGAAATACAAATTAATAATGTACTAGGTGTGCAAACCAATTTTTTTTTTTTTTAAATCGGTACCGGGGATCGAACTCACGACTGCCTGCTTACAAGGCAGGTGCTTATGCTGCTGAGCTAAATCCCCAGCCCTGCAAATCAGTTTTATAACTTGGTTACAAGGAACAATACAGCACCTCAGAAAGTTTCCTTCATGCCTCTTTCTAAATATCAGCACAGCCTTGCAAGCAAGTGATTGTGAGTTCGATCCCCAGTACCGATGAAAAGTTAAAAGAAAAAAAAAAGTTCTAGATATCAGCACAGTCACCACTAGAGTAACCACTATTCTAATTTCTGACACCACTGGTTAGTTTAGCCTATTTGAAATATATGCACACACACAAAAAAAATATGCACCTGGAATCATAACATACTCTCTTTTATGTCTGGATTTTTTCACTTAATTTGTGAATCTTGTACATTTGTGTCTATCAATGAGTTATTTTTAAAATTTATATAATGTTTTGTTGGATAGCTAGCTTACTGTAGTTTACCCTTTTTAGCATTAATAAATTGAGTTGCCTCTACTTTTTGGATATTATAAGTAGTGCTATGAAAATTGTTGGATATATGTAAACATAGTCCTACATGTCTATTGCACATAACCCTGAGAAGTGCTTATAGGCATGGGGCAACATAGATGTAGGCTTAGAATCACTATGCAGTTTTCCATAGTGGGTGAAAACATACCACATTTGCACCAGAAAGCCTACCTGCTTTTGAAAAATAACATTACTAGGGTAAACTGTAAAAGTAAAAAAAAGTTTTTTGAGACAGGATCTCACTGTGTAGTTCAGGCAAACCTTAAACTAGCAGTCCTCTTGCCTCAGCTTCCCGAGTGCTGGCATTATAGGTGTGTGCCACCATGCCCAACCCAGTAAATATATTTTGTTTTAGAATTTGGTGCTAGATTTGTCCTCAGTTACAATTTGTACTCAATTGAACACTAGGTTGTTATGTAACCCTTTTAATCTTTATCAAGTTATAGTGAAAAAAGATCAGTTTTAAGCTTCTTTAATGAGTTGACACCAACACCACCCTGGTGCTGGCGACTGAACCCAAATCTCACATATGATAGGCAAGTGCTGTACCACTGAACTAGATCTCCTAATCCCTTGAATTTAATAATCCTCCTGTCTCAGCCTCCTGAGTAGATGGGATTACAGACATGTGCCACTGTGCCTAGCTGAACTGAACTTCTTAAGGAAACTAAGGAGTTTTTCCATTGTAGTTTTCTTTTCTTGACTTGGTTGTTTTGGCTTTTTCTTTGTTAAGATGGGTCCCTCTCTCTGGTCCTTCCCTCCTGCCTGGTTTTGGGATAGCACTTAAAAAAAAAAAAGGCTGACTTCAAACTCAGTATTTAGTCTAGACTGAGCTTGAACTGAAGATTTCCTGCCTCAACCTCCCAAGTGCTGGCATTACAGTTGTGCCCTACTATGCCAGGCTGAATTTGTTATTTTAAAAATCCACTATTGAAGAGTGCTGAATATTGAGCCCAAGGCTCAATATTATTATACATCTATGTTAGTTACTTTTCTTGTTTCTGAGACAACATACCCAAAAGTTATAAGAGGAGTTTATTTAGCTCATGGTTTGTAGAGGTTTTAGTCCATAATCAACTGGCTTCAAGACAGAGTGGCATGGCAGACAGGCATCATGAAAGAGAAACAGTTCATGGTGCACAGAAGATAATAAAGCAAATAAGGGCCAACCATAGCTCTTTCTGCTCCTTGTATCTTATCCAGGCTACTTAGGGCAGGTAATACTCACACCCTTAATCCTAGTGGCTTTGATCCTAGCATTGCACCATGAAGCAGTCCTAGTGTCACTATAGGTCTAGCCACCTCTGCAAAAGCCACCTCTGCAATAGGTGACCTATGACAGCATGAGGCTTTGGGGGACATGTAAACATGAGTCATAACAGCAGCTTCTATCACTTGAGCTACCCCTGCTGCAAAATAACACATTTTTAGGACCTATACCAGTGATGGGGAACCTTTTAGAGCTCTCAGTAATAACAAACAGCCTGTGCAGCAAGTATGCCATTGGTCTACCATCCACTGGTCTATACCATATTTTTTCCCCTAGTTTCTTTTGTTATTTACAATACAGATGTTTCAAATGTGTGTATGTTTGTATATTACTCTTTCTTGTGTGGTTTTTGGCCTTGCCTTCATTTTTTAGGAAGGCCTTTTGTATGGAAAAGTCTTTCATTGAGAGTTCTCCCCCATACTGTTTTTGTTGGTTGTATAGAGATAATGAGCTTTCATTTGAGCATATGTGTTTTTGTTTTTAGTGTTTTTAAGACAGTGTCTTATTACACAGTTCAGACTGGCCTTGAGCTCACTTTGTAGCCCAGGTTGGTCTGAAACTTGCAATGATCCACCTACTTCAGTCTCTTGAGTGCTGGGATTACAGGGGTGCACCACCACACCCGGTTTGGGCAAATTTGTATGTATACATAATGTACTTTAATCTTTCCCTCCTCCTCATCTCTAGTCCCACCTTGTGCCCAGTTTCACATGTTCAGGGTGTTTTTCAATGTATGATGTATTTCAATCATACTCATGCCTGTAACTTTTCATTCTTTGCTTCCTCTTTGATAAAGTCCTAGCTGCAAAGGAAACAATAGTCTCCTTTCTTGTTTTTTAGGTTTCACATATTTGGGAGAACATGTGATGTTTGTCTTTCTAAATCTGGCTTATTTCACTTAACACGCTGATTTTCAGTCCATGCTGATTTTCAGACCTGGTTTTTTTTTGCAATTGACAAAACTGTGTTCTTTTATGGTTGAATAGTATTCTGTGTGTGTGTGTGTGTGTGTGTGTGTGTGTGTGTGTGTGTGTCACATTTTCTTCATCTGCTGTTGGGCATCTAGGCTTGTTCTGTACCTTGGCTATTGTGTACTAATTTACATTTCCACCAGTGGTACAGATGGGTTCCTTTATCCCCTGAATCCTGGTCAGCATTTGTTTTTGTATTCTGATCGTGGTAAGATGTAATTTCAAATTGTGGTAAAATGTACTTTTGATTTGCATTTCCCATGTTTGAGTGCCTTATTGTTTACTGCAGGTAGGGTTGCCCCCCCAACAAGGTAGTTTTTAAAAATTTAAAACATATACATAAACAAAATCAGTATTATCTGGAATGTTTTGTGGGTGTCAGAGGGAGTCTGGTGAGGAACACCAGCAGGCATGTATGTATCATTTGACCAATGAGAAATAATGCCAGTTTTCCTATGTGGATTCGTTATGAAACCTTTTATTGTACATGTCATTCAAGTCATTAATTTTCATTTAGAAGAGTGAAATCAAATTAACCTAGAGCAAAGTATCTTATTTATATCTCTTATGGAGATTATGCAAAACTCTGCAGCTAGGACTTTATCAAAATATACCTTGCCTCTTACAGGCTGTCTTCTGATGTATAGTACAGATGCCCAGGGAGCCAAATGCTTAATTTCAGACCTTTAAAAATAATGTTGCAGTGATAATTGAGATCTTCCCAAAGTCCCTGCAATCTAAAATCCCTACCATAGAGTCATTATTGAGTTAGACCATGAAGTGGAAACACAGAACAGAATTTATATCGGTAGTTCTAATACAGATGAATTTGGTTTCCGTAATTGAGGTTTAGTACTTTAAAAGGTGTATGAGTCTTAGGACTGGTTAAGTTTTTGAGGAAGAGAGCTCAGAAGTCCTACTGTTCTGTGTTTATAGTTCTAGACCACACCAAAACCTAGAGACAATATGAAGAGTTTTGGAAGGGAGGAAAAGTACATAGATGAAGATAAGTGCAACAGATAAGTTATAATCCTGCTGGTTTGAATCACTGGTGATCTGGCAGTTAGTACCACCCAGTGGGACTATCCCATACCACTAGATGGGCCAGTCATTCATGTACTTTTCTACCAGTGTGTTGGAGCACAAACATACGAATTACAGCCCTGGCATGAACATGATTAAAAAATTTTTTTGTTTAGTTTTTAGTCTACTTCTAGCAAGATTATATTATTTGATTATTCCATAAGCTGAGTAGAAAATTATGAGGGCTTGCCTTAGTAAATCCATAATTTCAGAACTATTTTTTTTTAAATGATGACAAAGTTTATAAGAATTTAAAGTGAAGGATAAGGGTGAAACTGGCTCTGCAGAGCAAACTTGGACCAAATAAAAGAAGTACACCCTGAGGAACAAAGGGCAAGCTGCTGTGAGTTCAGCCACAATAGGCTAGGAGAATCAGTGTTATTTGAGCTTTTGAATTTGACTGAAGGAAAATAGTGGGTTTATGTTAGGGCCTTATTGGGGATAGACTGGGGAGAAAAAGGTACAGAAGGGTAAAAAGCTACAAGTGCCCATTTTGATTTACACATAGGCAAATGCAGCCTTAAAACACACTTTTCATATTTAATCTTCACAGAAATCTTGTGAAGTAGTTTTCCCAACTGACAGAGGGAGGACAAAAGGTTGGGGAACAAAGTTACGTTATTTTGTCTAGGCTCACATACCCAGTAAGTGGCAGTCCTGGGATTTGAACACTTATCTCTGAACCCAAAGTTCATGCATTATTATTTTCATAAGAGTGTAAATTGCTTCCTAAACTGCAGAAGGAGTTACATAACAGTACTTTGGTTCATGAATGCTTTAGTTTGTAGATAATTTGGTTCTCAAAAGAAGTGTTTGGCAGAATTTGTGTTTTGTTTGGGATCTCTGCATCAGGTGACAAATGGACCATAGCCAGCCATCTTTTTTGCATCAGTATGAACATGGCCATTTCCCCCAAAATCATTTAATGAATTTTAGTTTGTGATCTAAAGTACCACTGTGTTTTGTATTTTATTGGCATCATATCAAGTTTTGGTAACATTTTAATTGGCCTGTCTTAGGGATGTCGTCAGTACTTCCAGGTAGTGGAAAGCCTGTGTAATTTCCTTTAACTTCCATGTTAGCATTGAGAGTAAGCATGAAGTTACAATCCTGGGAGGACTCAATGAATTTGTAGTGAAGTTCTATGGACCACAAGGAAGTAAGTACATATGTTGATACGTGTCTTTCTATTACAGTCTTACACTCTGTTCCTTAATCGACAGAATATCAAATATCCATAGTTTTTGAGAAGTCCAGAGCCATTGGAGAAATCTTTCTCTCATAACTTATTTTATATACTTCCCTCTTTTATGAATTGTAAATTCTGGATTTTGTTATGAATGGCCACTTGGTCAGTTTCTAGGAAGTATATTTTGTTGTTTTTTTGTTTGTTTGTTTACTGGATGGGAAAGACACATACGAGATTGGTTGAGATGGGGCAAAAAGAAATCCTGGCTGTTACCAATGATTAAATTATATTAAATGGAATCAAATAAGTTTGAAAGAGACAATGAATTTTTGCTTATTTTTAAACTCTAGATCTTTTAAGCAAAAAATGTGAATCAGAACATAGAGTACCTGCTGATGGTAGTAGTTCTCTGACTCTTAAAAAGATTTTAAGTGATGACTATCGGAGACCATTAGGGGTAATGTTTTAACTTAAACTTGGATTTCCTTTTCCTTTTTCTATTTCCTTTTCCTTTTTCTTCTTTGTATCAGGAATCAAACACAATCTCATGCTTGCAGGCAAATGCTATGTCACTGAGCTGTATCTTCAGCTCAGATTTGTTTTCTACTTTGGAGACGACAGTTCTAATGTCTAACATGTTTTACTTTTATTTCAGCACCATATGAAGGTGGAGTATGGAAAGTTAGAGTGGATCTTCCTGATAAATACCCTTTTAAATCTCCATCTATAGGTATGTAACTAATTGGTTTCTCTCTTCAGAGAAAAAAACCCTTTTTCTGTGGGAGCTAATTCCAGAAATATAATTTTAGAAATGATTACTTAACTGAACTTCCCCCTTTTTAATGGGCTTTATTTAAACAGTGGTGGGGTAAGGGCTTCCCTAATGTGATAGAAGACATTTAAATACACCGTTACATGATTACCATCACCGTTACTCTAGATTTTTTTTTTTTTTAATTAACAGATTAGAACTAACAACTTTAAAGCCATTTGTCTAGGCTATTTTATTAGTAAAAAATAAATCCTTAAGTCTCATTTTGAATATCAGATTGTTGGAATGAATGTTAATACGGCTTCTGTTCTGTCATTTAAAGATCTAGTCTAGATCTTACTTTACAACTCTAACTTTGGTACCTGGCAATGAATGACCCTTTTGTACTCTCTTCAACCCCTCTGTTCAGGCTTCTTAACAGTAAATAAAAGTACCACGAGAAAGAATAGCAATTTGGTGGCTTTGTACAAGAAGAAGGCCTTTTCCTTGCCTTCATATTTCTTAATTGGTGATATTATTTACCTGTCACCCCCATTAAGGCATTGAGTGATAGTTTAGTTATTTTAATATCAGAGCTGTAAAGATACATTTGATTGAAAGTTGACAAAGATTTTGAGAGAGGCTGGGGATATAGCTCGGCATCATAAGCACATGCCTCGCAGGCATGAGGTTCTGAGTTCAATTCCTATTACCAAAACAAAAAAAGCCAAAAAAAAAAAAAAAAACCCAAAACATATTTGGGCCGGGGGTTTAGCTCAGTGGCTCAAGCACTTGCTTTAAGCACAAGGTCATGAGTTCGATCCCCGGTACCAAAAAAAAAAAAAAAAATTTTTTTTTTTTTTTTGAGATTGTTGAATAGTAGTAATTTGATTAACTTCAGTCATCTCTTTTCGCTTTAGTCTGTGTGACTTTAAAATAGTCTAAAGTACTACAAATTTTAAGTAAGAATCATAAAATAAAATTGTGATATATTGAGTATTCTGACCCATCAGACTAAATCTGTTGAGAATTAACAAAATTTAGGAATCTTGCTATATTGTGGGCTGTCTTAGAACTAATGCCAGATCTCATGAAGTTTTGTTGTTGAGTGGAGACTGATATTCAACTCACTGTGTAGCACTATGTGGCCTGGAATTTTCAGTAATCCTCCTGCTTCACCCTTCTGATTGCTGGGATTACAGGTGTGTATTACCACACCTGGCTGAATCTCATGTAATTTACACAAAGTCCAACTCTAAACAAAAAAAAATTTTTTAAAAGGCATTGGTCAAAACATTCTGAGGTTTTACTCTGATTCCAGGCTCTCACTTTTTTTTTTTTGGTCTTTTTGAGACAGGGTCTTGCTATGCAGTTTAGGCTGGCCTTGAGCTCACTTTGTAGCCCAGGTTGATTTTCAGTTTGCAACGATCCTTCTGCCTCAGCCTCCCCAAGTGCTGGGATTACAGGATTGTGCCATCACACTCGGCTTCTCACTTTTTTGAATAGGGCAAAAAAAGAGGATGGTCACAGACTTAAGTGCCAGTTAAAAGCAACAGCTTCTTCCTAACATCTAGCTACTTTACATGCTTTAAGAGTTGTGTGCTCTAAAAATAATACAGAACATCTATAATTTCTTCTTAGGCCAAGAATCTTAGTGATCATTTGAACAACAAATGGTAATTTGGTTCCTTGAGTTTTCTAAAATCTGTAGCTGAGAAGATACTTAATGGTTAAATGAATCAGAAATTTCCTAATTGCTGCAAGGGTGTCTTAAGCTGTGGGTTTAGGGTGGAGGTGTGAAGTGTTGAGTCTGAAACCTTTTGGAATACATGGAATTTAATATCTGTATAGTTTGTGACAGCATCTTTTTCCCTGCTTCTCTTCCACGTTAGCAGAATGTGTGTGTCATTCATTTTGAGAGGGCTTTTGAGAAATGTTGGAAGTTCTCTGTCCTTAATTTATTTATCTCTTAATAGGTTGTTTCTTTTTGGCCATTTTAAAGTTTTATATAGTTGAATGGAATCTTAGTTACTTTTCTCATTGCTGACACAAAATACCACCCAAATTTAAAGGAGAAGAGGTTTATTTTGGCTCACAGTTTGCAGAGGTTTCAGTTCATAGTCTGCTGGCTCCAAAGCAGGTGGCATTTCACAGGGGCATCTCAGAGAACAGTTTGATGTGGCAGGCAAAAGTCAGTAAGAGAGCAAAGTAGCAAGCCTTGGCAACAGGCTCATGTTCCATCCCTAAGAGCACATAGCACTCACACCATTAATCCTAGTGTCACACACACACTAGATCCAGCCACTTATGAAAAGCCCTACCTGTGATGGTCACATGAGGCTTTGGGGAGACATCAAGACACAAGCCATAACAAGTGGTATGATCACCTGTGGTTTACAGAATCTCTAAGCCATATATATACATTTATTAAATATATCTCTTAAATACTTGTTTACTTAAAGACTAAAAGTTGGCATGCTGAATCTGGTTTTGTTTTCCCGCATTACTAGTCAGAGTGGAAATAAGAGAGCTTGTTGAAAACAACAGTGAGCCTACAGGAATGCAGTGGGCTGCCAGGCATGATGGCCCACACCTATAATCACAGTTTTGGGGAGGCTGAGGCAGGAAGATCTTTGCGAGTTCAAGAGTAGCCTGGGCTAAGTAGTGAATTCAAGGACAGCCTGAGCTACATAGTGAGACCATGTTTTTTTTTTTAAAAAAAAAGTAATTGCATATTCTGTAGAAATGTAGTTATTTCCCAAACCTTATCTTATTTTTCTAGATAACATGATTTGCTTATTATAGCATTCCAAGTAAAAATATCTAAAAAATATCTGAACTTTATCCAGGGATACTTCATTATTTTCACAGTGCTGTGGATTGAACTCAGGGTTTTATGGATGTTAAGCAAGTGTTCTACCACTGAACTATATATTTAGCTCCAAAACACCACTCTAAACTTTACATGTCGGTTATGTATCAACTAAAGACACAAGCCTGTGCCCTTTCCTAAGTTAATGATGAAGTGTGAAATTCGTTGGGACAACCAGGCTAATTTAACTGCTTCATTAAGTGTTTGTTTGCTTTTCTATATACTTTCAGAAACTGGTAGTTCTACAGCTGTGTATCATCTTCTCTTAAGGAAGTGGATCTAGTTGAAATATTTGTGTAAGATGTCCTTGTTTTCTCCAAAGGAAGATTACATAAGAGAGTTTTTATCTGTTGTATGGAGTGACTCATTTTTAGGTTGTTAACAGTGTAATTACTGTTGAGATGTGCTTTAAGCATTTTGAAAGGTAGTAGCTTACTTAGAAAAGGCCAGGTTTCTTTTTTGAGTTATGTAGATGTAAAATTGTATAGAAAGGAGGGAAATGAGATAAACCCAGCCTCAGAGGTTTTTTAGATATCACTGCCATTGTATTTGGACAGGTGTATCAGGCACATATTAAGGTCTTGAATATTAAAATATGAAACTGGTGGTGTAGCTCAGGAGATTTCTTTCCTGCTGTGCACAAGGCCAACTTTAATCTCTAGCATTGCAGGGAAAAAAAAGATGTGTACATTTAAATTTTTTTAAATTAAGTTTTGAGCACATTTTAGATACATATAATGATTAGATTGAATACTTTTATTGTCTACATCCTGGAATCTTAAAGTATGTACTTATGTATACTTGTTTGTTTGATTTTTGTGTGTGTAGTTTTTTTGAGGTAATCTCTTACTATATAGTTATGGATGTTAAGCAAGTGTTCTACCACTGAACTACACATTTAGCTCCAAAACACCATTCAAGGCTGGTCTTAAATTTGTTTTGTAATCCAGGCTGGCTTTGAACTCACGGCCTTAGCCTCCTGTGCTGGGATTACAGACTTGTGCTACCATGCCAGACTGTATATGTTTTAATTGTAAAAATGATGCATAGCCATTGAAAGAATGTAAGAAAGTCTAGGTGAGCAAAATTAAATATAAAAAGTGTACATAATCCTATACCTTGGTGGATAGCATCATGTGTATTCTGGAAACATTTCTCTATACTTATTTAAATATACATTCAGTATAATCTGATATGCTTCTCTGGGATATTTTACAAATACAGTTTAATAATTATCTCATAATGGTCTCTTAAAACCATTTACATCTACAAATGAGGTCCCCCCCCCCCAAAATAGTGACATAGCTATCCCAAATCCTCTCTGGAAAGGAGAGCAACATAAGTGGACACTTTGGAGGTTGTTAACTTTTTTTTACAATGCCATCACTGTTTCAGTCTCTAAGCTCATCTTTTAGAATTTTATATTCTCTATCATAAGTGATGGCAAAACTTGATGCTTTGAAACTGAATCTGGAAATTTTGAAATGGCTATAGGTATTTTAAGCCCAGACAATGAATAGAAAAACTGAGCAATGTGCGTAAAACTAACCCCTTGGGTACTTCCAAAGATAAATTATAAAGCTGTAGCATCTTTGAGATATGTGCATAGTTTTCCAGAGAAACTGCTTTCAAATATGTGCCTTATTTGAATATTTTAAAAATGTATCTTTTTTTTTTTTTTTTTTTTGAAACTGTGTCTCACTATGCAGTTCAGGCTGGCCTGGAACTCACTATTTAGCTCAGGCTGCCCACGAACTCATACCAGTCCTCTTGCCTCAGCCTCCCAAGTGCTGGGATTACAGGTGTGTGCTACCATACCTGATTAAATTCTGATTTACATGGAAATTCAGACCTTTATCTTCCATTCAGAAATACTTCCTAGAGTGCTGCTAGGTGTCAAGGATATGTAATTGGCCAATTACCACTGCTTATCAGGGAAGACAGGCATATGTAATTGGCCAGTTGCCACTGGTTATCAAGGAAGACCTGTTAGTATTTGACCTAGAGAGTGCTATATTCATATTCTTATTTTCATCCATGTATCTCCTTTTTTTCCCCCCAAATCCATTTTATTTCAAAGAGAAAAATAAATAGCACAAAATTTCAA